GGCCCGCTGTCAACTCAAATTCTCCGCTGACTTGGATTCTTGAATTTGAGCACCTGCTCTACTCTACTCTGCTCCCTCTGCCTGTCACTTTGGTACTGTGCGCTACGTTCCGTTTCCCTTCCCAGCTGTCAATTCGAACTCCTCCTCCTGCTCTCTCTGCCATTTTCTCCCAACCCACCATCGCCCATCCTCTTGTCTAGCTATCATCCAGCTATCGCATTTTACTAACACCCAGCCGTCGCCTCTCCCTCTTATCCCGTAGTCGCCCCTCCCTCCTACCCTGCCGTCCCAATTCCCTCCCATCCCGCCGCCACCTCTCACCCCGTCATCGCCTCTCACTCCCACCCCCCTGTCGCCTCTCCCTCACTCCCCGCCATCGCCACTCCCTCCTATCCCGCCATCTCCACTACCTCCCACCCCGCCGTCGCCACTCCCTCTTATCCCGCCGCCGTCTCTTCTCCCATCCGGCCGCCGCCTCTCCCTCCTCCCCGCCGTCGCCTCTCCCTCCTCCCCGCCGTCGCCTTTCCTTTCTCCCCGCCGTCGCCTCTCCCTCCTCCCCGCCGTCGCCTCTCCCTCCTCCCCGCCGTCGCCTCTCCCTCCTCCCCGCCGTCGCCTCTCCCTCCTCCCCGCCGTCGCCTCTCCCTCCTCCCCGCCGTCGCCTCTCCCTCCTCCCCGCCGTCGCCTCTCCCTCCTCCCCGCCGTCGCCTCTCCCTCCTCCCCGCCGTCGCCTCTCCCTCCTCCCCGCCGTCGCCTCTCCCTCCTCCCCGCCGACGCCTCTCCCTCCTCCCCGCCGTCGCCTCTCCCTCCTCCCCGCCGTCGCCTCTCCCTCCTCCCCGCCGTCGCCTCTCCCTCCTCCCCGCCGTCGCCTCTCCTTTCCTCCCCGCCGTCGCCTCTCCCTCCTCCCCGCCGTCGCCTCTCCTTTCCTCCCCGCCGTCGCCTCTCCCTCCTCCCCGCCGTCGCCTCTCCCTCCTCCGCGCCGTCGCCTCCTTCACTCCTCGTCGTCGCCTCTTTTCCCCTCCCCGCCGTCGCCTCTCCCTCCTCCCCGCCGTCGCCTCTTTTCCCCTCCCCGCCGTCGCCTCTCCCTCCTCCCCGCCGTCGCCTCCGGCGGCAGGTGCACGAGCGCAAGCGCGAGTGTTGGTGCGCGAGCGCGGGTTGGTGCGCCAGCGCGGGTTGTTTTCTGAAACACCGTGATTATCAGGTGCGTTCCCGGTCCTTTCATCCTCCCTTCCCCCACTGAATTCTCCTCCCCCCCTCCCTCCCCTCTTTTTTGTTTTCTTTGCTCTCTTCGTAAAGTTTTTGTGTAGATTGGTCTCCTCTCGCATTGCACTTTCATTTGAAGAAGGGGAGAGACGGAGCGCGAGGGAGAGCATGTACACGGGAGCGAACACGCAGGAAAGCGCGCGTGAGAGTGCGCGTGAGAGAGCGCACGAGAGAGCGCACGAGAGAGCACGTGAGGGAGCGCGTGAGAGAGCGCGTGCGAGTGAGAGTGCTCCTGAGAGTGCGCGTGATAGAGCGCGTGAGAGAGCGCATACGCGTAAGGGAGCGCGTGCGCGTGAGAGAGCGCGTGCGCGTGAGAGAGCTCGTTAGAGTGCGCGTGAGAGAGCGCGTGAGAGTGCGGATGAGAGTGCACGTGAGGGAGCGCGTGAGAGTGCGAGTGAGAGTGCACGTGAGAGTGCACGTGAGAGTGTAAGTGAGAGTGCGCTTGAGTGAGTGCGTGAGAGAGAGCACGTGAGGGAGCACGTGGGAGAGCGCGTGGGAGAGCGCATGAGAGAGCGCGTGAGACGCGTGAGAGAGAGCGCGTGAGAGAGAGCGCGTGAGAGAGCGAGTGAGACGCGTGAGAGAGTGCATGAGAGTGCGCGTGAGAGAGCGCGTGAGAGAGCGCGTGAGAGAGCACGTGAGGGAGCGCGTGAGAGAGCGCGTGAGAGAGCGCGTGAGGGAGCGCGTGAGAGAGCGCGTGAGAGAGTGCGTGAGAGAGCGCGTGAGAGACGCGTGAGAGAGCGCTCGAGAGAGCGCATAAAAGCGCGCGCGAGAGCACACGTGAGAGAGGGCGTGAGAGAGCGCGTGAGAGTGCGTGAGAGAGCGCGTGAGAGAGAGCGTGAGAGAGCGCGAGAGGGAGCGCGTGAGAGAGAGCATGAGAAAGAGGATGAGAGGGCGCGTGAGAGAGCGCGTGAGAGAGCGCGTGAGAGAGCGCGTGAGAGTGCGTGTGATAGAGCGCGTGAGAGAGCGCATGAGAGAGTGCGTGAGAGACGCGTGAAAGCGTGCGTGAAAGCGTGCGTGAGAGAGCGCGTGAGAGAGCGCGTGAGAGAACGCGTGAGAGAGCACATGAGAGAGCGCGTGAGAGTGCGCGTGAGAGAGCGCGTGAGAGAGCGTGGAGAGAGCGCGTGAGAGACGCGTGAAAGCGTGCGTGAGAGCGCACGTGAGAGAGGGCGTGAGAGAGCACGTGAGAGAGCGTGTGAGAGAAAGTGTGAGAGAGCGCGTGAGGGAGCGCGTGAGAGCGTGTGAGAGCACGTGAGAGAGCCCTGAAAGAGCAGGTGAGAGAGCGCGTGAGAGATTGCGTGAGAGAGTGTATGAGAGAGCGCGTGAGAGAGTGCGTGAGAGTGCGTGAGAGAGTGCGTAAGAGAGTGCGTGAGAGAATGCACGAGAGAGCTTTATGAGCACGCTGGGGCATATGCACTAGCATCTATTCTGCTGGTGCTTGGGCAGCTGGGACTACTTATGCAAACGAGTGTCGCTTTCTGCACTAGTGTTTAGTGTATCGGCTTCTAAGGTGTTTGCTTCTCTGTTTTTGCTGTATGCATGCCGTGTGTGTGTTTGCTTCTCTGTTTTTGCTGTGTGCAGGCCGTGTGTGTGTTTGCTTCTCTGTTTTTGCTGTGTGCAGGCCGTGTGTGTGTTTGCTTCTCTGTTTTTGCTGTGTGCAGGCCGTGTGTGTGTTTGCTTCTCTGTTTTTGCTGTGTGCAGGCCGTGTGTGTGTTTGCTTCTCTGTTTTTGCTGTGTGCAGGCCGTGTGTGTGTTTGCTTCTCTGTTTTTGCTGTGTGCAGGCCGTGTGTGTGTTTGCTTCTCTGTTTTTGCTGTGTGCAGGCCGTGTGTGTGTTTGCTTCTCTGTTTTTTGCTGTGTGCAGGCCGTGTCTGTGAACTTCTCTGTTTTCGCTTTGTGCAGGGCGCGTGAGCTGAGAAGGGAGATGAGGGAGGGAGTGGGAGGGAGATGAGGGAAGGAGGGACGGAGGGGTGTAGGGAGGGTTAAGGGAGATCAAGGTAGCGATGGTTTATTAATTGGTGAACTTCATTGGCTATGCTTGCATGCTTAGTATTAGCTGTATGTTTCTGCGTGTTTTTCTCTCTGCGTATGTGTGTGCATACATGTAGGCTATGTAGTTGTGTGGCTCTGTTTCGGGGTGAGTGCTAAGTGCCTCGTGTATACAATTGCGGTTGTGATCGTTGGTGGGGCAGCTTTGGTTGCCTCTTCCATACCAGATCAATCGCAGTTGCATTAACGATGCATTCTAGCATTAGCTTTGAAGCACTCACAACTGGTGTTTCTCGTTTTTGTACAAGTTCTTGTGCTGTCGTTTGGGTCTGTTTTGGGGTGGTGCTAAATGCATCATGTATGCAACATGGGTTGTCATCGTCGGTGGGGCAGCTTTGCTCGCCTTTTCCGTACCATATCAATCTCAGTTGCAGCATTGATGCATTTAGTGTTTGCCTCGAAATGTTCATGATTTTAGCATGTGGTTTTTGTACACTTTCGTGTCCAACCAATTGTTCCATTCGCCGTACTTATCGACGACTATGGAAGTATTGGTTACATTTGGTTTCACATTTTTGGGGCAACTAAAAAGTTGAACAGTAAAATTTTCCCAAATGGGCAGGGAAAAATCACTGTTCACGGTCAGTTCCCCAAAAAGTGAAACCAAATGTATAAGGTTGCTACGCAACCCAAAAAAATGCATGAGTCAGTTACATCCAATAAAATGTAATACCAAACTTTCTTTAATTACCCTCCCTTATGATAGTCGTTACATATTGAACATGATGGTCTTTATTGGTTTCTTTCCGAGAATCACAAAGACTATTCTACAAGTAGTTATTGAGACCTAAATAAGAACGGTCCTACCGAACACACATCTCTCTGTGTGCATTTGTTTTCATCATACGCTTCTAGTTTCATCGTAGCTCTCTAGTGAACAAATCTCAATTTCAAGTTGAAAAGGCCCACCTCCAGCAGCCCGTTTCAGTCACCTTGAACTCACGCCGTAAAACCTCGAGAACATCGCGAACGCACGTGGGCAGCAGTGGTCGCATGGAAACCCCAAAGGAGCGTCGCATGCTGCTGCAGGGCCATCGCAGCTTCCAGCATGTTTCACACGCGAAACCTTCGCAGCATCGACATGGCCTCTTCGCGAGTGCGGTTTTGGCAGCCCGGCCGACACGTCACTGATGCGAGCACCCAGTTCATCATGGCGGAGCGGAGGTGGTCGGCGGGCACTGTTCACATTGTGGACCTTCCGCCGTGTGCTTCCGCCTGCAGCGAGCGACCTTTTCCAGCCTTGTGTTCCGCAGTCCGTTGGGTCCCCCTGCAGCTTCCAGCCATAGCTCCTTCGTGATCGAATATACCTCGCCGTTTTCACCACACATGCTGCCATTTGTAAGGCGATAATATGCTTCAGCCTGACGGTTAGTCGGCCTTAGAGGTTGTTCTCTGAAGCCTATGGGCTCGTCGTATTGCTCCGGTGCACGAGGGAATTCGACGGTTGAGGATTCCGTAGCGAGGCTATGCAGTAGTCTGGGTGCAGGAAATGGGAAGCCTCAATCTCGGATCTTCGCAATCCCCTGCGATTAAGGATCATGACGTCGACGGCCTTGGTTCCGGCCTTTGGAATTTAGATCTTAGTCAGGAACAAACGGACAGCTTAAAGGCCAGCTTCGGATTAGACGGAGCGACTGACCTATTTGGTGCGAGGCAGGAGTCGGAATCCCGATCGGCGCCAGTGACGCCCGCTTGGATGCCTCGGCAAGGAGCGTTCTCCGTGGTGGCGCGCGTGTCGGACGCGCATGCGGAGCAGAACGGCGAGCAGCGGCAGGAATCGAACCAGCGGACTCCAGTAAGTCCGAGGAGCCTCGCCGTCACCCGTTGCTGCTTGCAGAACTTGCTTCTTCAGTGCCTGCTTGGCAAGTAGGTCTCAATGACCCAAGTCCTCCAGATTGACCACGTCAGCTGTCAATCGCCAGCCGAGTAACCATGGAGGATGGTGGACCAGTGGAGTTTCCGGGACCGTTGGAACGGGAAGCATGGTCCACACGTGCCATGAGCCCGTTTTATGAGCAATTTGTGGATTTTTTTGTAACGGATGCAAACTGCCGTCGCGACTGTGAGAGACGTTCGATGCGTGATGCTCAAACGGCTGGGACTTGCGGTGTCAGGGCGGGCTGAGAATTTTCAGTCTCGATTTCTGTAGACTGCCACGTCTAGGGCGTGTCGTCACTCTGGCAATTCTCTCGGCCTAGGGCGCGTCATGACCATCGCATCCAGCCCTAGACATCCTTCCGCTCACTTACCTCAATGTCGCCTCCAGCTCTTACACCAGCACTGGTCGCATCGTCACTGCTCTAGTCCACCGTTTTAGCCATTAGTGGAAGTATGAACCGTTTGCTCTTCTCACTGCACGCCTGGACATTCCTTTCCCCCTCGTCGTGCTTGCCTCTCCTCACGTTCGTGATTCCCGCGCGCATCTGCTTGTTACTTCTCTAACGCTTTCCGTTTTCTTGACAATGCTCCCCTGTGTTCTCTCCTCTTCTTCCATCCTGTGCCTTCCGCCCCTCATTCCCCCCCCCCACGCTGCGCCACGGCGTGCGCCAGCTGGTGGTGCGGATGACGGCGGGGCTCAAGCACACGTACTCCGCCTGCAACGACGCCTCGCGCGCCCACATCGCCGCCCACCATCCCTCCTCAAACCCCGCGCCCGCCGTTCCCGACCAACCCGCGGCTGGCGAGTATGGCTCGCCGGAGGCCGGTGCGGGTGACGGCGAGCGGGCGGCGCGCGTGGTGCTGACGAAGCCGTCGGAGGCGGCGGGGAACGAGGGGTGGGACAACGCCAACTCCGACCTCATTCTCTCCACGGGCCTCGTGCTGCACGGCGACCCCGGCACCCCCAGGTGACCCCCGCACTTCGCTACACGGCGCTGCCCACCACGTTACCCGCACGCACATGTGCGCTGCAAGCTGCTCTGCGACCCCCATGCGCCCTTCACGCGCCTCCCGCAACCTTCACCCAGGCATTGGTCCCAATCTCATTCTGTATAATCACATGGTCCAGGCGAGAGGGGCCACGCACGATCTTGACGGCAGTGAGGTGCGCTCCAGGAGACGCTCGCCCTCATCGCTTTCTCAACGCCCCCTTCCCTCCCCCGTCCCGCTGGTTCTGCGCAGCTACGTGGTGCGGGACGTGTTGGGGCAGGGCACGTTCGGGCAGGTGGTGAAGTGCGAGTGCAGGGAGACGGGCGAGGTGGTGGCGGTGAAGGTCATCAAGAACCAGCCCGCGTACTACCACCAGGCGCTCGTTGAAATCAGCATCCTCAGGCTGGTGAGTGTCATTGTTGCAAGGTTCTTGATCACCTTGCGGAAGGTCATCAAGAACCAGCCCGCGTACTACCACCAGGCGCTCGTCGAAATCAGCATCCTCAGGCTGGTGAGTGTCATTGTTGCAAGGTTCTTGATCACCTTGCGGAAGGTCATCAAGAACCAGCCCGCGTACTTCCACCAGGCGCTCGTCGAGATCAGCATCCTCAGGCTGGTGAGTGTCATTGTTGCAAGGTTCTTGATCACCTTGCGGAAGGTCATCAAGAACCAGCCCGCGTACTACCACCAGGCGCTCGTTGAAATCAGCATCCTCAGGCTGGTGAGTGTCATTGTTGCAAGGTTCTTGATCACCTTGCGGAAGGTCATCAAGAACCAGCCCGCGTACTACCACCAGGCGCTCGTTGAAATCAGCATCCTCAGGCTGGTGAGTGTCATTGTTGCAAGGTTCTTGATCACCTTGCGGAAGGTCATCAAGAACCAGCCCGCGTACTACCACCAGGCGCTCGTCGAAATCAGCATCCTCAGGCTGGTGAGTGTCATTGTTGCAAGGTTCTTGATCACCTTGCGGAAGGTCATCAAGAACCAGCCCGCGTACTACCACCAGGCGCTCGTCGAGATCAGCATCCTCAGGCTGGTGAGGCCCCTCTGCTCTGCCGCATAATAAATTTCTGCTGAGAGCGGCATCACTCACTGCACCAAGGGGGACTGGGCTGCTGATCTCATCGAGCACGTGCCACGGTGCACCGCACGCACTAGTGCTGCATGGCCGTTTGTGCTGCCACTCACACGCTATTGCGCCACAACTTCTCCAACTCCCTTTCCCTGCTTCTCATCCTGCCGCCCTCCCTCCCACCTTCCCCCCCCACCACGCCCCCTCTCCTCCCTTGCGTGCGAGCAGTTGAACGGGTCGTATGACCCGCAGGACGAGCACCACATAGTGCGACTGGTGGACCACTTGGTGTGCCACAGCCACCTCTGCATCGTCTTCGAACTCCTCACCTACAACCTGTCAGTCACCCGCCCCCGCCGCCACCCTCGCCCTCAACATCACCCTCGCCCTCGCCTGCACCCTCACCCTCACTCTCATCCCCACCCTCACTCTCATCCCCACCCTCACTCTCATCCCCCCATCACTCTCATCCCCACCCTCACCCTCACCCCCACCCTCGCCTTCCTGCGCACTCTCACCACGCCCTGCCACATCCGCGTGCCCTTGTTGCCATCGTACTCCGCCTCGTGGCGCCACTCAGCTGTCCCTCGCTAACCATCCGCCTGTGCGTTGTTGTGTGCAGCTTCGAGCTCATCCGCCAGAACCAGTTCCGCGGCCTCTCTCTCAAGCTCGTGCGCCTCTTCACCAAACAGGTGCGCTGCTACCCTCCCTGCGCCCCCTGGTCGCCGCATTGCCTGGCTGTGCAGGTGTGTGTGGCGACGCGGGGGTTGTCTCACTGCTCTACAACCCGTCACTCGCACATTTGCTGTTGACGTGCCTCCTGCTTCTTCTGAGTACCTCCTCGCATGCCGCCTGTTCCTCCCCTTCTCCTCTCCGCGTCTTCCCCTCTCCGCGTCTTCCCCTCTCATCCTCGTGTGCTGCCACCCCTTTCTCCCCCCCACTGCCTCCTGCCACGCCATCCCCCGCGGGGGTGCAGCTGCTGGTGGCGCTGACGGTGTTGGAGGATGCGCGAGTCATACACTGCGACCTCAAGCCTGAAAACATCCTCCTCAAAAGGTGCGCCCCGCACCCTAAGCTTCGCTCTTTTGGACTCACCTTTCATGCTCATGTGCTTGTCATCGATGCCCGCCCTCCTCCCCGTCACTTATGCCCTGTTCCCCCCCCCCCTGCCCCTCATCTCCCCTCCAACCTGCCCTGTGCTCACCCCAGCTTGGGCGGCGAGATCAAGCTCATCGACTTTGGCTCTGCATGCACGGAGAATCGAACCGTGTACTCCTACATCCAGGTGCGCGGCCTGGGCCCGCTCTGCCATGCACCCCACCATCACTTATGCTGCATGTGCGAGCAATTAACCACTATTTCTATCCCCTTGCTCTGTCGGTCCCATACCCCGTGCCTACACTCGCCACAGGCCTTTCCCATGCCCCTCACTGCTGCGTCCCCCCATGTATTCCCCTACTACCACCAGAGTCGCTTCTACCGGTCGCCAGAGGTGGTGTTGGGGCATGCGTACGGCACGGCCATTGATCTGTGGTCGCTGGGCTGTGTGGCGGCGGAGCTCTTTCTCGGCCTGCCGCTCTTCCCTGGCGCCTCCGAATTTGACATGCTGCACCGCATGGTCGAAACCATGGGGTCAGTCAGTCACTGCCCTGCACGCACACTCACTCCTTCTGCTGTCCCTGCTGCCTTCAACCATGCTCCTCCACATGAATCATCCCCCTCTTTCATTTATCCCTAAATGAATCATTCTTTTCCTGATATGAGTATTCCACGCTCTCATTTCTTCCCCTCCCTCGTTTCTTCACCTTTCCTGCTCCCTCGCTGTGCCATGCAGCTGCCAGCCGCCGGACGCCATGCTGAGGCGCGCCAAGCACACGGCCAAGTACTTTGTGCGCACAGCAGATGGGGGGGGCGGGGGGGAAGATGGGCGCAGTTCAGCGTACCGCCTCAAGACGGTGGAGGAGGTGGTGGCAGGGGGGGAGGCGCGCCCGGCGCTGGGGAAGCGCTACTTCCGCCAGACGGCACTGAGCGACCTCGTGCTGGGCTATGCGCTGCGGCGTGGTGAAGGGGCGGAGGAGGCGCGGCAGGAGCGGGCGAGCCGAGTGGCGTTTGTGGACTTCCTCTCGGGCCTGCTCCACATGGACCCCGCTCAGCGCTGGACCGCCCGCCAGGTCTCCTCTCCCTGCCCCCTGCCTCCATGCCCTTTGCTGGCCTCTTTGCTTCCCTTGCCTCCCTGCTCTCTCTCTTCTGCTCCCGTTTCCTCCTCTCTCCCTCTTTCTCACAGTATCACCTCCTCTCTACCCCACATCAATCCCTCCCTCGCCCGTTGCGACTGGCAGGCGGCGCAGCACCCATTCATCACGGACGAGCCATGGATGGGGCCCTTCCAGCCACAGCGCCAGGTGAGCCCTGCCTTCCGCACCCGCTGCATGCGCACCTCACTCCCCCGGGCTTTTCTGAAACCGCCTCCCACCATTGATTAACACGCCCCTTTTCCCATGCGTCTCAACTTCCCATCATTCCGCTCAGCAGCAGCAACAGGCGGAGGCCACAGAGGGCGCTCATCTACAGCCGCTGCATCGGGAGGGAGCCTCCCGCCTCGCCCAGCAGCAGCAGCAGCAGCAGCAGCATGCGCGTGTGCTGCAGCACAGGCAGTCGCTTGGAGCCCAGGAAGCGGGGCGGGGAGGGGCGTTGGAGGGGGGCATAATGGCAGGCAGCCTGGGCGGAGCAGCGGGCCTGGGAGCAGCACTGCCGCCCCCCATGGCTCTGTCTGGACCCGCTCCTGCTGCCATGCCCGCCGCCCTTGCTCCTGCTGCTCTGGGCATGGGTGCAGGCATGGGAGCAGCAGGCATGGGAGCAGGCATGGGGGCAGGCATGGGAGCAGGCATGGGCGAAGGCGGGTATGGGAGCATGGGGGGGTATGGCGTGCCCGTCGGTCTGCCGCACAACTACGGCCCCCTGGGCGCGAGTGTGGGCTCCTACGGCAGCCTTGGCAGCCTTGGCAACAGCTTTGGCGCCATGGGGGGTTTGGGAGGCATGGGGAGCGTGGGGGGGATGGGAGGCATGGGGGGCATGGGAGCGATGGGATCGATGGGAGGGATGGGGGGCGTGGGGAGTCTGGGAGGGGTGGGCAGTCTGACAGACCCCACAGGCTCCTACATGGCGTATGCTGCGCACCTGGCTGCGGCAGGGCAGGGGGCGGACTTGGGGTCAGGGTCGTTTGGAGCAGCGGCAGGAGCAGCGGCGGCGGGAGGTGCTGGAGGGCTGGGGTTAGGATTAGGGTTAGGGTTTGGGCAGAGCCCGGACACGCGGCAGCTGCTGCCTGCGCTGGCCAGCATGAATCAAGCGGCGCAGCAGTGGCAGATGGGCCAGCTGGGGCAGGCCGGGCTGGCGAATCAGGCGGGTCAGGTCAGTCAACTGAGTCAAGCAAGTCAATCGAGTCTCATGAGTCAGATGCCGTCCAGCCCTCTGGGTCCCACTAGGGGCTCGTTGCAGCAGTACCAGCAGCAGCACCTGCAGCAGCAGTTTCAGCAGCAGTTCCAACTGCAGTTGCAGCAGCAGCAGCAGCAGTATCAACAGCTGCAGAGGCTGCATCAACAGCAGCAGATGCAACAGATGCAGCACCAGCAGCAGCAGCAGCAGCAGCCATCGCAGCAAAAGCGGTCGTCCCTGCACGAGCAGCTGCAGAGTTCTCACTCCCTGCAGCCCTCGTCTGCATCCCTGCTCTCTGCCCAGTTTCTTGCACCACAGGCAGCAGATGGCACCATAGGCACGGGCACGGGCACAGGCATGGGCATGGGAATGGGCATGAGCATGAGCATCCCCGCAGCTGCCACCCTTGCAGCTCACGGCGCCGTAAATGCTGGCGGCAGGCAGCAGGAGAGGCGGGGCAGCGGTGGGGGGGTGTGGCAGGGCATGGGGCAGGACGGTGCGTATGTGCCCTTGGGGCAAAGCCCTGGCGGACCTTTCCTGGACGGGGCAGGGCGAGGGGGAGGGGGGTACTGGGGAGGGCGGGACGGCGAAGTGGCAGTGAGCAGCAACTCGCTGCTGGGAGCCAGTCCGTTGCAGTTCACCCCGCCCTCCCACTCCCGCCACTTCCCATCCTCCCACTCGCACCAACACCAACTCCAACAGCAGCAGCAGCAGCAGGGCGGGCGGCAGGGGCACCTGCAGGTGCGTGTGAGTGAGCCCACAACGCCCTCCTCGCCCACCACCGCCTCGCCTCACTTCTCCCCGTCCTCGCTCCACCCCGACTTCTCCTCCCCGCTGGCGCGAGGGTCGGTGGGGCAGGCGTCCTCTCTGGGCCCCAGCGCCAGCACCCACCCCATCAACCACAATCCGGGCGCAGGCCTGCCCTCCCCCGCTGCTAGAGGGCTGGCGGGCGCAGGGGCTGGGGGAATGGGGCTGAGTGTTGGCAGAGGCGGAGCGGAAGGGGGGATTGCACTGGAGAAGGCGGCTGTGATGGGACAGTTCCAGAGGCGACAGAGTGAGGTGATGCGGCTGATGGCCATCATGCAGCAACAACAGGAGCAGGAACAACTGCAACTGCAACTGCAACAGCAACTGCAGCAGCAGCAGCAGCAGCAGCAGCAACAGCAACAACAGCAGCAGCAACAGCAGCAACAGCAACAAAAATTGGAGCAGCAACAGCAGCAACAACAGCAGCAGCATCTGTTGCAGCAGCAGCAACTGCAGCTACAACAAGAAGCGGGAGAGTTGAAGCAGAGACAGTTGCAGCAGGAGCAGTGTGAGGGGCAGCAGGGAGGGATGGCAGGGGGGGAGCACGGGGCAAGAGAGGCAGCGAGCGAAGGTGCTGGCGACAGCAGGAGCGGCAAGGGGGGTGGGCACGGTGCAGAGAGTAGCAGCAGGCAGCATAGCTTGGATTCAGGGAGGCAGGCGCTTGCAGAGCAGGGGGATCTTGTGGGGGAGGGGCGTGCCTGTGTGAGCATGCAGGGGGGTGCACAGCTGCCACAATCTTGGGAGGCAGCTGCTGGTGGTGCTGGTGGTGGTGAGGGTGGTGGTGGAGGCGAGGGTATAGCTGGTGTGAGCCTGGGGCTGGGGCTGGGGCTGGGCTCGCACTACAGCAGCAATGACAGGAGCCAGGAGAGTGGGCACACAGCAGTAGGCGTGACGAGTGACGCGCACGAGGGGAAAAGGGGCGAAGGGGAGGGAGGGGGAGGAGGAGCGGGGTGGGAGAGGGGAAAGAGCAGTTCAGCAGGCGAGGGGGATGGGCCTGCGGAGTGGGACCCATACTTCTGTGATGACCTGCTGCTGCACCCCCCACAACCCCACCAGCCCCCCTCCACTGCTGCTGCTGGTGGGAGTAGGGCCACGGCGGATGGGGGAATAGGTGGGGAGGGATGGTGGGGACAGCAGGAGGGTGGGGGGGCGGATGAGGGGCAGGGGGCAGGAGGCGTGGGTGGGGTTGCGTGGCAGGTGAGAGGCAGTGGGCATGGTAGCGGACCCAGCTCTATGGAGGGAAACACTCACGTGGGCTCACATGGGCATGTGGGGTCGCATGGGCATGTGGGGTCACACGGGCATGTGGGGTCACACGGGCATGTGGGGTCACACGGGCATGGGGGGCACACCATTGCCCCCCCTGCTGCCTGGAGCCCTCTCAACACTGCCTACATGCACCCTGCACCCACAACAGCGGCTGCTGTTCCTGCTGCTGCGGCACCGGGTGTGTTGTCAGCTGCTGCTGCGCCTGGGGGCAATGGAGGGGCGGCAGCGGGGCGGGGCAGTGGGGGGTCACTGGGAGCCATGGACTGCTCGCCTCTTGCTGCTGCTGGCGCCTTCATGTGGTGAGTGGGGCAGGGAGTGCCAACGCCACGTTATGCCGCTTCCTCTGCACCATGCCCATGTGCTTGTCTCCATGGCACGAGCATGGCACTGTTCCCCATGCCTTGTGTTCCGATGCTCTATGTTCTCCCTGCCCTGTGCCACCCCTCCCACCTGCAGGTCTCGCCCCTCTGCCACGGCCAGTGGCTCGTCCGCCCCACACCACTACCGCGCTGTCACTGACCACCCACACGCCCCGCCCGCCCTGCCACACCACACTGCTGCCGCTGCTGCTGCTGCTGCTGGCGGTGCAGGCGCTACACTCAGTGAGAGATGGCGGGGAGGGGAGGATCAGGGGAATAGCAGCGCAGAGGGATTGGCGGGAATAGACGGAGAGGTGGAGAGCGGTGCGGAGCCCATGGGCATATCTCCGGTGCAGGCAGGGCAGCTGGGCCACTGGTCCGCCGCTGCTGCCGCCGCTGCTGCTGCTGCTGTGGCGGGGCAGCAGGGGGGAGGCGGGTGGGGTGGTGGCAGGGCAGGGGGGGCTGCAGCAGGGGTGGGGGCAGGAGGGGGAGCACCAGAGACGGGGGTGGGGGGAGGGGTGTGGAGAGGGGTGACCAGTGGGATGGGAGTGGTGGGGGCAGTGGGGGTGAGTGTGGGGATGGGGAGGGGGTATGGGGGAGGGAGGGGGAATGCGAGAGAGGGGGGGCGTCAGGGCAGAGGCATGGGAGGAGGCATGGGGTTGGCAGAGGTGGCATGGCTTGGGTAGCATGTGCAGCACTCGACGATGCCTGCTGCCTGCTCCCTGCAGCACTCTGGGTTCCGTCTGACCCACTCACACACACACACACACATGCACACAATTAGTTGGCATGGCATGCAATCAGCTGTACAAGACATGTGGCTTACAGCTACCAAGTAGGTATGCACAATCCCACAAGATTGGTTCGCAGAGTCTACAATGCGTGATTCAGCTCTTGGGCTATGAGATGTCTCCTGTTGTTGTGTGCATCTACACTGGGTTTTCTTACTCATCCCAAGGGGTTTCTGGTTAGCTCCTTTCAGGAGTGCGTTTTTCTGGGTGCATTTAGATGGAAAAGGGGAATGGAAACCAATAGATTGTTTTGAAGTATGCTTTGTTAAACAGTTTGAAATTATGCTCTGTTAAACTGTTGAGAGAACATGTAGTAACTTAGGCTACACTGTGGCTGCGTTCATTTGAGCTGTGCGATATGACAGGGCGACTATAGTCGCAGCTATGTCGCAGCTATGTCGCGGCTATACCGTTCACCACTCGCGCCAAGCCTTACAACACAGAGCCGTTTGAAGCTCAGAAGCCAAGCATAGGGTGTCTCGTAAGAACGTGTCAGAGCGCGTCGCAAGGCGCTTAGGATTTCTTTGAGACGGTCCGCACGCCAACAATATTAGTAACAGCGGCACGATCGGTCAAGTGTAGGATTGATCCACTCGTTCCCCTCGCTAAACGGACACCTCACCTCCCTGCTCGCGCCCGCGTCGATTCGCCGTCATTCCTTGCGACCCGCCTTCTTCCTTTCGTCGTTCGCCTACCTCTGCGTCCGCCCCCTGCGTCTCCCTAAATCCTAAACCCGGAACCTTGTCCCAAGCCGAAACCTCGCCGCCATTTCCCTTGTCTACACCCCTTGCCGCTCCCCGCGTCCGTATCTCGGGCCGCTATGCCTGCGCTTCCCCCCACCCTGGCGGCAGCCGCGCCGGTGGCATGGGGCGGCGGCAGTCTGGTGGACGGCCGCGCGGCGTTCAGCGCGGACGGCCAGCGCCTGCTCTGCCCGTGCGGGGCCGTCGTCCGGGTCTTCGCGCTCGCCTCCGCCACCCAGGTTCGCATCCCTCCCCACAGGTGCGCATCCCGTCGCTCAGGTGCGATCCCTCCGCACAGGTGCGCTTTCCACCGCCCATGTACGCTTCCCGCACCCGAGGTGAGCCTCGTCCGTGCTGCGCAATAAACCCTGAACCTGCAGCTGATTCCCCACGGTGCTTCCGACGCAGACCTCACAGCCGCTACGAAGCCACATGCTCGTCGCGCACCCGCTCGACTCAACCCCTTCCCTCCCCCCCTGCTAACCCCTCTCCCCCTTCTTCCTCCCTCTCCCAAACCCTCCCTCTCCCCCCTCCCCCCCCGGCAGGTGGCGGTGCTGCAAGGCCACACGGCGCTCGTCACGTGCGTCTCCACCTCCGCCGTCGCCCGCTCGCCGCCCGCCGCAACCGCCGCTGTCGCTCGCGGCGCTGATGACGACGATGACCACATGGAGATCCCCCCCGCCGCTGACGTGTCAGTTCCAGACTCCGCCACGTCATCGATGGTGTACGCGTGGAGCGGGTCGCTGGACGGCACGATGCGGCTCTGGAACTTTGTAACGGGGGCTTCGCTAAGAGTGCTGCATCTGGGCCGACCAATTAGAGACCTCGTGAGTGATTGACACCTGCTGGGTCGCACCTTCCCTGATGCAGCCACACTTGGGAGGGATCAAACTCAGCCCCCCTCCCTCCCCCCCATTCTCACCCATCCTCCTCCCCACTACCTTTCCCGCTTCCCCGCGTCCTCCTCTCTGCCTTCATCCGCTTTCCCCTACTCCTCCCTCTTCCCCTCTCTCCCTCCCCTCCCCCGTGCGCAGGTGATGTATCCGTATGCGAGCACGGAGGTGGTGGAGGGGGCGGGAGGGCGGGAGGAGGAGAGGGCGGTGGCGCCAGTGGCGTTCGTGCTGGTGGGCAACGAGCAGCGCGGCTGCGACCTGCTGCACTACGACGTCTTCCACGACCGCTGCCTCAAGACGCTCTTCCACCAGGTCGCTCCTCCACCAGGTCGCTCTTCCACCAGGTCGCTCCTCCACCAGGTCGCTCCTCCACCAGGTCGCTCCTCCACCAGGTCGCTCCTCCACCAGGTCGCTCTTCCACCAGGTCGCTCCTCCACCAGGTCACAACCTGCTCCTCGCCTTTGCCCGCCCTTCTCTGTCACGCTTTGCATGCCATGCTGCCATCCGCCCCACTCACGCCACTTCGCCCCTCTCCCCATCAACTTAACCCGCCCTGCCTGCCCCCGCTCCTCTCCCACTCTCTTCCCTTTTCCTTCCCCCCACCTCTTCCCCCTTCCTCTCCCCTTCCCCTCAGCTGCTCGTGTCATCACCGCTGGCCATCAGTCCAGCGACGGGGCGGCTGCTGGCGGTGGCGTCGGGGAGGAAGGTGTTTGTGGCGCACTGCACGCGCCCTGCGCACCACGCGCGCCTGCACCTGCACCACCGCCGCGCCCTCACCTGCGTTGCCATCCACCCTGATGACCAGCAGGTGCTCATGCTGCTCGTGCTGCTCATGCTGCTCGTGCTGCTCATGCTTCTCGTGCTGCTCGTGCTGCTCGTGCTTCTCGTGCTTCTCGTGCTTCTCGTGCTTCTCGTGCTGCTCATGCTGCTCGTGCTGCTCGTGCTGCTCGTGCTGCTCGTGCTTCTCGTGCTTCTCGTGCTTCTCGTGCTTCTCGTGCTTCTCGTGCTTCTCGTGCTTCTCGTGCTTCTCGTGCTTCTCGTGCTTCTCGTGCTTCTCGTGCTTCTCGTGCTTCTCGTGCTTCTCGTGCTTCTCGTGCTTCTCGTGCTTCTCGTGCTTCTCGTGCTGCTCGTGCTGCTCGTGCTGCTCGTGCTTCTCGTGCTTCTCGTGCTTCTCGTGCTTCTCGTGCTTCTCGTGCTTCTCGTGCTTCTCGTGCTTCTCGTGCTTCTCGTGCTTCTCGTGCTTCTCGTGCTTCTCGTGCTTCTCGTGCTTCTCGTGCTTCTCGTGCTTCTCGTGCTTCTCGTGCTTCTCGTGCTTCTCGTGCTTCTCGTGCTTCTCGTGCTTCTCGTGCTTCTCGTGCTTCTCGTGCTTCTCGTGCTTCTCGTGCTTCTCATGCTGCTCCACCTGCTCCTGCTGCCCTTGCTGCTGTTGCTTCATCCCTCTCACGCGTGTCGTTGCTCTTCCTTGCTCTCCCCCGCCCCGCGTGCGTGCAGGTGGCAGCAGGGGACGTGTTGGGGCGCGTGGTGGTGTGGCACGGCATCGGCCGCCGCTCCGGGTGGGCGTGGGGGGAAGGGCAAGCCAGGGGCGCGCCAGGTGGCGGGCGCGCAGGGCGAGAGGGCGGGTGGCGAGGGGGGAGAGGAAGGGGAGGGGGGAGAGGTGGGCGAGGAGGGAGCGGGGGCAGGTGGGGGGCAGGAGCAGGAGAGGGGGAGGAGGAGGAGCAGGGCGAGGGGGAGGGCGAGGGGCGGAGGGGAGCGGAGGGGGAGGAGGACTGTGAGGCGGTGTCATCGCTGCACTGGCACGCCCAAGCAGTGACAGACCTCGCCTTCTCCCCGGACGGGCTGCACCTGGTGTCCATAGGCGCCGAGGCAGTGGCGCTCATCTGGCAGCTGCAGTCCGGCGCGCGCCGCTTCCTCCCCCGCATGCCCGCCGCCCTGCTCCGCCTCGTGCTCCCGCCCTCGCTGCTCCCCCCGCTGCCTCCCCCTAGCCCCTCCGCACCCAGTGCAGCAGCAGCAGGAGCAGCAGGAGGAGCAGCAGGCGGGGCGGGCGGAGCGCGGTCGCTGGTGGCACCGGCGGCAGCGCCAGAGGCGTTGCGGTTTGGCATGCAGTGTGCGGACAACAGTGTACGTGTGGTGGACCTCAGTGAGTCGTCCCTCATCGCCTCCATCCGTGGCATTGCCCCCCCGCCCCCCACGCGCCCCCTCCCCGCGCGCCACTTCATCCTCCCCCCGCTCGACCCCTTCAAATCCCCTTTCGCCCCCCTCCCCTCCTCCGCCTCCGCCACCTCCTCCTCCCTCTCCAACTGCCTCCCGGCTGACGTGGCGCGCCAGCTGGCGGTTGAGCTGGCAGTGACGGGTGGCGGTGCCCCGTCAGCAGTGGTGCAGAGCGTGAGGGGCGGCAGCGCACGGCTGGTGGTGGTGGGGCCGCTGGGGCTGCTGCAGGTGTATGAGGTGGGTCGGCAGCAGGTGGTGGCGCAGGTGCAGCTGATGCGCATCAACGTGGTCTCCTCCGTTGAGGCCCGCTTCAAGCGCGCCTTGAAGGTGCAGGAGATGCAGCAGCGCGACCAGGCTCTTCGCCTGCTGCAGGGGGGTGCGGGCAAACCACAGCAGCCGCAGCCGCAGCCGCAGCAGCAGGGGCCGAAGCCGCCGCCAATCTGGGTGAGCCACGTGTGCTTCTCCCCCGACGGCCACACGCTCGTGACCGTTGAGATCCGCCAGCCGGAAGACCTGGCCGGCCAGCAGTCCACCCTCAAGTTCTGGGCGGCGCCGTTCGGCGGCACTCAGGGCGTGAGGCAGGGCAGTGGCAAGGGAGGCAAGGGCAGCAAGGAGGGGCTGACGGCGCTGACAACGGCGGTGGATGCGCCTCACGGGGCGGCGGGGCTGGTGACAGGCGTGCACGTGCGGGCGGGCGGTGACATGGTCGTCACGTGCGGCACGGACGGTGAATTCCGCACTTGGACCCGCGTGTGGGGCGAGGAGGGGGAGGACGAAGGGGGGGAGGAGGGAGAGAGGGGCAGCGGCAAGCAGGGCCGTGGGGGGGTGAGAGGAGGCGGGGGGCGAGGGAGGGGAGGCGTGCAGGGGTCAGGGCAAGCGAGGACGGCGCGGGAGCGCATGGAGGAGCGGGAGGCGGGCATCGCCCCTCTCACCTTCTGCTGGCGCTGCCGTGGTGTGGGCAGCTACGCCTCCCAGCCGCTGCTGACCGCGTGCTTCTCCTGGGAGGGCTCCCTGCTGGCAGTGGCCGCCCTGCACCGCGTCACCCTCTGGGACCCCGACCGCCACGCACTGCTGGCCGTGCTGCACTGCGCGCCCTCCCTCAGCCCCCTGCAGGCGGACCTGCCGTGGCACCAGCCCGTCACGGCCCTCGCCTTCCTGCCAGAATCCCCCTTCCTCCTCACTGTCTCCGGCGCCCTCGCCCCCTCGGGCACCTTCTTCGCGCCGCCAGGCTCAACTGCTGCCCCCTACGCGGCTCTGTCCGTGTGGAGCCTGCTGTCTCTCTCCCTCGCCTGGTGCCTCCACCTGCGCGTGCTCTCCCTCGCCACGCACCCCTCTGCACCGCTCTTCGCCGTCATCGTTGCTGCTCCCACCGCTGGTGGCGGTGGTGTGAGGGGAGGCGACACAGGGCAGGGCGGTGGCGTGGGGAAGAACGAGGAAGGGGGGGAGAGTGAGGAGGAAGAGCACGGGGAGGAGGTGGGGCCGAAAGAGGGTAGTGTGGGGAGGAGTGGGTGGGTGAGGAGGAGTGCAGGCGAAGGCGGGGCGGTGAAAGGGGCAGTGCTGGTGTTTGAGGGGGGGGAGAGCCCTGTGCCCGTCGCAGCGTGGGAGATGGCTGATGTCACTGCCGCCACCGTCGCCTTCCTGCCGCCCGCTGCCTCCTCCCCACCTGCCGGCAGCAGCAGTAGCAAGGAGGGGACAGCGAAGTGGTCCATAGTGGTGGTGAGCGGTGGCAGGGAGTATGCGGTGCTGAATGGGGAGGAGAGCCGGTCTGCGCCAGATGAAGCGGATCGGGACGTGGAGCTGTCGAATGGTGCCGCTGGCATGGCGGACGGTCAAGGTGAGTGAGAAAGGCTGCCCCTGGCCCCACCCCTCCCTCCCTCTGTCCATCCACTCTACTGATCAACCCCTCCTCCCCTAAGAATGTCTGTTGCCTCTGCCGCCATCTTGCCTTTTTCCAAATTGACTGACTTGCTGGCTTTCATTCTCTTCATTTCTCTTGTCTGTGGCAGCTCTCTCGGCGTTTGAAAGCATCTATGGAGCAGCAACCACAGCAGCGGCCGTGGCAGCAGCGGCCGGGGGTTTGTCGGAGCAGGGCGGAGCGGCGGGTGAAGGGTTGGGGCAAGGGGAGATGGAGGCGGTGGAGGGGCGGCCGTGGGGCAGCCTGCTGTCGGCGCCGTCCCACGTGCTGCCATCGCTGTCGAGGGTGTACCCACAGTTCATGCAAGCCATGCTGGACCAGCTCTCGCTGCACTGATGCCATGCTGGACCAGCTCTCGCTGCACTGATGCCATGCTGGACCAGCTCTCGCTGCACTGATGCCATGCTGGACCAGCTCTCGCTGCACTGATGCCATGCTGGACCAGCTCTCGCTGCACTGATGCCATGCTGGACCAGCTCTCGCTGCACTGATGCCATGCTGGACCAGCTCTCGCTGCACTGATGCCATGTGCGACCACCCAACTGGATTACCAGCAGAGAGTCTGCATGTTAAAACATATGTAGGATAAATCCGGTGTTCTTATTCACGTGCAAGGGAACCAAATATAGGGAGGCTGTACAAGGGGGAAAAGTAGCAAACATTGTTTGTTGCCTTTTTAACAGGATTTCCAATTTGATACAATGCTACTTCCGTAAAGCAATCATCTACGAGAATCGAACGCAACAGTCCCTAGCGAGGAAGTCACCGGAAGGGTTTTCTTGGGATTCTTGAGCAGCATTCTTGGTTTGAACCGCCAGGAACCGCCAAATCGCAAGGTGCGAGCTTCAAGGCTGGGCTGATTATTCTCGTCAGCGTTTATTTTAATTCTTATGTCTACGGTGTGGGGTCTTTATAGAAGGGAGCTTGTTGGCACATCATTTGAGCTTTCCGCGGCGCGTAAATCTCCGTTTGTTCTCCTGCTTTCCGCGCGCGCGGATGGAGCTGAGCGCGGAAGACATTGCGATGGAGGAGGCGGAGGAGGCGGAGGAGGTGGGGGAGTGGGAGGAGTGGCAGGAGGACGAGGAGGAGGCGGACGACCCCGCGCTCTGCTTCTTCTGCCCCCGCCAGGCGAGTGCAATCGGACGGGCCACACCGCATTGACATGCTTAACCAGCGCCACGCCACGACGCTGCAGCGAACGGGGTTGGGGAAGGCGGGGAGGAAAGCAGTGGAAGCAGGGGAGAGGAAGGTGGAGGGTTAAGGGGATATGGGGGGTTCAGGGGCCGCTGGCGTTGATTATTTGAAGGATTTGAGAGTATTATTTAGTGGTGAGCAACCGTTGTTGAGAAGTCGTTCAAGTTGTGGTTGACGTGTTGGTCCCTCTGCCTGCACTGCAATCCCGTGCAGCTGTCCAACGTGGCGGGCATGCTGCAGCACTGCCGCGCGGAGCATGGCGGGTTCGACTTCAAGCGATTGCGAGCAGCGCAGCAGTGGGACGAGTATCAGTGCATCCGCGCTGTCAACTTCATCCGTACCCACGTGAGCTGTAGCTGAGCCTTCAAGCATTATTCGAGTGTAGAGACCCAGGTATCATCCTCTCACGCGTGTCACTCGTTTCCCCCAGCGTCACAACAACACCTTTCAATGCGAGTGTGAAGCGACAAGTGACCCCTTCCTCTCCCCCCACCCCTCCCCCGCGCCCCCAGGTGGCGGCCCATCGCTGCATCCACTGCCTTCAGTCCTTCCCCTCCCCTCCTGACCTCATTCAACACATGGAAGCTTCGCAGCACTTTCTCCTCCCTCCTCTCCCCCCCGCCGCCCCGCCCGAGCCCTCCGCCCCGCCTCCCTGGGGAGACGACGCGTACCTAAGAAGCTTCCTGGAAGGCGACCCTGTGCTGTACAGCTTGGATGATGACGACGATGCTGACATCAGCGAGGGGGGCGCCAAGGAGGACAGCGCCGCTGCCTCTGGCGCTGGGGGTGCACGCGAGGCCAGTGCCGTGGTGGACGTTACCGGGTTACCACTCACGGCCGCTGCCGCAGGGGCGGCGGCGGCAGCAGCAGCAGAGGGGGGAAACGTTGGGGGCAGCGAGGAGGAGCGCGCTCTGGCGTTCCAGGAGCTGCTCTCCCTGGCGCAGGGGGAGGGCGCGGTAGGGGGGCAGGGGAAGGGGGAAGGGGCAGGGGCGGAGGGCAGTGGAAGCGGAGGTGCAGGAGAAGGCAGCTCAGGTATAACTCCAGGTGGGACCGCAGGTGGTTCTGTTGGCAAGGGCAAGGAGAAGGTGGCGGAAGTGGCAGGAGCAGGGGGGGAGGTGGAGGGGTGGGGGGGTGCTTACGGGGAGGACGTGGCGCCCTCGTTGGAGCAGTACGTGGCGCTGGCCAATCAGGTGCTGCTGCTGCGACAACAGAACGCACAGCTGGCGCACCAGCTGGCTGCCACGTCAGCAGGGACGGGTGCAGAAGGTCCTTTCAGCGCCGCTGTCGGCGGTGCAGGCTCTGCTGTCCCACGCACCCCCTTCTCCACGCCCATGGTCTCGCCCTCCCCCAGTACCGCCTCCCTCGTTGCCACTGCCACCGCTGCTGCCGCCATTGCCTCTGCTGCAGCACAAGCCTCAGGCGCCAGCAACACCGCTGAAGCTGCCACCACTGATGGCGCTGCAGCAGGCGCGGGTGCAGGGCCTGCTGCTCCATCCGCTGCTGCAGCAGCATGGCAAGCGCAGAGCATGGGAGCGCCCCGCACGCCCTTCTCCACGCCGCTGGTCTCCCCCTGCCCCAGCTACGCCTCCCTCGCCACCGCCGCCGCCGCCGCCGCCGCCGCTGCTGCTGCAGGCACGGATGAGTCAGGGGCGGGCAGTGGGATGCACGAGGGGTCGGTGAAAGACATGCTGCTGCAGGTGAGGCACGGCGAGCAGCAGCAGCACAAGCAGGGCCGACCTCCCATCCCCGTATCCCCCCGCCCACCCTCCAGTGCTGAAAAGGCAGTGGGTGTGGCGGCAGCCAAGGCAGGTTTGGCAGGAGGAGAAGGCACGGCAGGATTAGGGTTGGAAGGAGGAGGTTCGGGAACGCACAGCCCGGTGGTCCCTCGGACGCCATTCTCCACGCCCCTCGCTTCCCCCTCCCCCAGCTACGCCCTGCTGCCCCTCGATGAGGCCCAGAGGAAACTGGCAGCCGTCGCTGAGACCGTGGATGGCGCCATGGATGGGGATGCCACTGCGGCACCAGCAGCGGCGCCTGCTGCTGCTGCTGCTGGTGCGGGTGTGGAGGGGGAAGGGGGTGGGGAGGAGGGGCAGGCGGCAAGGAAGCGGCGGCAGGTGACGTTTGGGGCGGTGAGGGAGAGGCAGGTGCGCGTGATCGATGCCAACTACTTCAGCTCGTATGCCGGCTTCGGCATCCACCGCGAGATGCTCTCCGATCAGGTCCGCCCCACGCGCTTGCCTGCTCACACGGGCTCTGTGGTATGAGGCAGGCTTGGTAGTTAAGGTGCAGCAGGCTTGGTAGTTAAGGTGCAGCAGGCTTGGTAGTTAAGGTGCAGCAGGCTCGGTAGTTAAGGTGCAGCAGGCTCGGTAGTTAAGGTGCAGCAGGCTCGGTAGTTAAGGTGCAGCAGGCTCGGTAGTTAAGGTGCAGCAGGCTCGGTGACTCGGTGGTTGTGAAGCAGGCTGGGTAGTTGAAGTACATGGGATAGCGGGTTGACACTGTGAGAGTGATGAAGTAGCACCGGCAAAATTGGACGCGCATCTTTCACCTCCCCCTTTCAAAACCTCCTAACTTCCTTATTTTGCTCCACTACATGCCTACCTTGCAGGCTCGGACCACAGCCTACCAGGCAGCTTTGGAGGAGAACCCGAGCCTGATTGAGGGTGCAACAGTGCTGGACGTGGGCTGTGGCACGGGCATTCTCAGGTGAGCATTCTCACGTGGGCATACTCAGGTGGGCATTCTCAGGTGGATGGGTGGCTGCCCATGTGATCCTCAGGCGCGCTCGCCACTCACCCACACGCGCATCCAGGTACGGGTGATCGACACTCACATGGTGACATGCTCTTGCCTTGCTTGACAACGTATGCCTCTGCACTCGCCACTTCACCTCCCCCTCCCTTCCCGTCTCACCGCCCGTTCCCTTCACCCCTCCTGTGCTGGGCAGTCTGTTTGCAGCGCGCGGGGGAGCAGCGAGGGTGGTGGCGGTGGATGGCAGTCGCGAGATTCTCGCCGTTGCTCAGCAGGTAGGCCTCAACGGCGAATGCTACACCCTCACCGTGGTGGAAGCAAGCACGCGCTACGTCTGGGTAGCAATCGTGCAGAACCGCAGTAGATCTTACGAGGTATTCCGCCTCTGGCTAGCACATGCGCAACGGCAATCGCGAAAGAAGCTCCAGATCTGGCAGACAGACGGCGCAGCAGCATTTGGGGTGGGGCTGCCTGGGTTGAAGGGATGGCAAGGCAGGCCGAGTGAGTTGATGGTGGCACAGAGAGACCATGCTGCATGTGTCCACTGCACATGGTTGTGCATGCCTCTCACCATCCCTGCATGCCATATTGAGTCACACTGTTAGTCACACCTCTGCTGTCCCCCATGGTTCCCTCCCTCCCACATATCTCTTGCCAAGCATCGCTGCTCCTCACCCCTCTCATTCTCCTCTCTTCCCACGCCCGCCTTCGTCTGCTATCAGATAGCGCGCGACAACGGCTATCTCGCGGGCGCCCAGTCCGCCCCCCCTGCTCCCAGCAGCACCTCTGCCAGTGCACCTCAGCGCCCACCGCGCCCCGTGGTGTCATTCGTGTGCGGCAAGATCGAGGACCTCTCCCACGCCCCCACGGGCACCACTCAAGCACCCGCGCAGGCGGGCGCTGGCGGCGAGGGGGCGGGAGGAGGGGGAGGCGGCGGGGTGGTGGCGTTGGAGCGGGGGAGTGTGGATGTGATAGTGAGCGAGTGGATGGGGTACGCGCTGCTGTACGAGTCCATGCTGCCCTCCGTGCTGCACGCCCGTGACACCTGGCTCAAGCCCGGAGGCGCTCTGCTGCCCGACACCGCCTCCATGGTGAGACGCTCTGCTGCCCGACACCGCCTCCATGGTGAGACGCTCTGCTGCCCGACACCGCCTCCATGGTGAGACGCTATGCTGCCCGACACCGCCTCCATGGTGAGACGCTCTGCTGCCCGACACCGCCTCCATGGTGAGACGGATTGAGCGTAGAGAGATGTGCCTCCGTGGTGAGACTTGCCTCCTGGTGAGGTGTGTTATGTGTGGCCCTGATGAGATGTGAAATGTGCGACTACTGTGTTCCAGGCTCCGTTGTGAACTTGTGACACGTGCCATGCGTGCATGCATAGCCCTCATGCGCCATGGTGAGATGTGGGGCATGCCTGCATGGAGATTCCTGTAGCGAATCCTTCCGTTCCCACCTCTCAAGCCTCACCCTCTGCACTCGTCTTGTCTGCCTCTCATTCATCTCCACTTCCTCACGCTGCCGCTCTCCCTTCCCATCATTCCGCCCGCTCTGCTCCCCCTAAACCAGCACGTGGCGGGCTTCGGTGAGGGAGCAACGAGTGTGGGGTTCTGGAGGGACGTGTACGGCTTCACCATGGCGTCTGTGGCGCGCGAGATAGAGGACGAGGCGGCGCGCACGCCGCTCGTGCAGGAGGTCAAGGCCTGCGATATAGTCACGTCCACCGCCACTATCAAGGTGCGGCCGCATTCACACTGTGGGGGTTTGCTTTTTCTCCCAGGTCACTCCGCCCATCTCTCGTCTTTCATCTCCCTTTGACGTTCCCTCTGCCCTCGTCTCCCCTCTACCTCATCCTCTCAGCCCATCCCTTCCGTTTCCCCCAATCCGCCCGCCCGTCCCCCCCCACTTCCACGGCAGCACTTTGACCTGTGCACGGTAGCAGTACCAGACCTCGACTTCACGTCTGAATTCTGCATCACACCAGCCCTCCCCACCTCCTCTGCTGCCGCGCCTCCCGCTGCAGCCCCCGCCTCCCCCGCCCCTGCCTCCCCCTCGCTGTGCTACGGGCTGGCGCTGTGGTTTGACACGGCCTTCTCCGCCCGCTTCTGCTCCGCCAAGCCCGTGCTGCTCTCCACCTCGCCCTTCTGCACGCCCACCCACTGGGCTCAAACCCTCCTCACCTTCCGCGAACCCATTGCTCTCGCACCCGCAGCAGAGTCCACATCTGCAGTGGCGACTGGGGAAACACCACCACTGGGAACTACAGCAACAGGAGCAGCAGGGGGAGCGGTGGGGTCGGAGGGTAGGCCGGCGGTGGAGGTGAGGGGGAGGGTGAGTGTGGTGCGGGCCAGCAAGCACCGCAGCATTGACATCTCTGTCGAGGTGGTGGCGGTGAGCGCTGATGGGGGCAAGAAGGCATGGCCCGCTCAGATGTTCACCATTTGAAGCCATGTGCGCACATGCTTGCACCCATGGTTCCACTTATTTGTCGTATTTGTTCAGACTCGTTATGCCAACTTAATGAATGGTCATCAGGGGTGTAATAATCCAGTGCAGCTTATGCTACGCGTAAGGACCTTAGTGTATACTTCCGTAAGGGGTTTGACCATCCTTTAACGAAGACATCAGCCTGTGAGTGTATGCCTCGTCACTGAAACCATACAGAATATGCCACATCGGATGCCCTCATCATTCTTACGATTCCCGCGCAATCTGGAGCCGCAGTTCCGCGCATTCTCACCAGTGCATTCACCTTCCACCTTGGGAATGTCGCATTGCCGAAGATCACATCAGCACAAATCCAAATCCTTCTCTCACTCATCGTGTGCACATCTCGATTTTCAGTCCCATACCTCGTGCCTCCGTTCTCGATCATCTGCAGTGAGCGATAGCTTCTTTGCAACGGCAGTCGAGCTCGCTGTAGGCGATGGCGGCTTCTCTACTGCTCCGCAGCGGCCTATCGGCCTCCATCGCACCGCGCTGCTCGCCCTCCGCCACCCACAGTAAGCCCGCCCCTCTCGCGGACCGCCTCTCCTCCTCCGCGGCCTTCGTGCCCTCCTCCCGTCGACACCGCCTTCACCTCCCCGCGCACCGACCATCCGCGCGCGTGAACCAGCAGCGCCACGCGCCCGCCGCGCCCAGGGCATCCGTGCAGACCGTCGAAGCTGCGCAATTGCCGCAGACCTGGTCCGCGTTTTCCGCCGCGATCACCGGGGAATGGGCGGGGTACTCATCGGACTTCTGCCCCGACGGGATAGAGACGGAGATCCCGAGGGAGGCCATTCCGCCGCCCTTTTGCGACTGGGGCCTCGCGCTCTTCGCGTGGCAAGCGCACAGCTCCACTAACGCGGATGCTTCTACCGGGGAAGTCCAAACCGTCTCCGAGCGCTTCCTGCCGTCGCTTGGCTTTGGCGGCGCGGCGTCGCGCTACAGCTTGGATCGGCGCGCGGCGGGGATCGGGCAGGACGCGGCGGGCGTGCTGGGCTTCCGCGACGACGGGTGCTACGCCGTCGCCTGGCCCGGGAAATCCGTTTCCGAGCCTGCTTCCGAGCCTGGCGTGAACGCGGCTCACGTAGTGGTTCGGCAGGGGAGCGGCAGCGGCGACGCGTCGCAGTTCTTCGAGTTGGAGCACTGCCTCGTCGCGGAAAACGCGGACGCGCAGGCCGACGGCAAGCCCGAGCGCGTGCGCGTGCGCGTGGTGCAGCGTTTTCAGAAGGGCGCGGGGGCGGCGGGCGGGGTGGGGGACGAGGGGCACCTGCCGCAGCTGCTGGGCATGACGCTGTTCCGCGAGCGGTGGGTGGGCCAGTGGCGCGCCGAGCCCGACGGCGCGAACGAGTCGTCGGAGTTCGCGGAGGGCCCGCCCGTGGGCATCGAGGCCGTGGAGGGGCGCTGGCTCGCCGCCGCCATGCGCGCCGACCTCAAACTGGTGAGCTCGGCGCGCTGCATGGCGCAGATGGTGTGTGTGAGGGGGGTAGGAAAGTGGGGGGATGTGCGGAGCAGAGCCGATGGGCAGTGAGGCGAGAGTGGTAAAGAAGAAAGAACACAATTTATGGAACGGGCGATCCGTGAACGAGAGATATGCTTGACATACATTTCATGTGGGACACAATGAATCTCGTCCGTCCATCGCACTGCCTCCCATCCACCCCCTGCCATCCCCTCTGACTGCCCTTCCCTCCGCATAGCTATGCGGTCTCGTCATAACCTCCCTTCCACGGAGCTCCGAGGAGGGCAAGGCAAACCCATCCGGCCGACCACGATTAGCGTTGCGCTTCACTCTGCCGGCCCTCATGACCCTTCCCCCTCCCCTCCCACCCCCCACCTCCTCCCCCCCGAGCAGGGCGACGAGTACGGGCGGCGGGGGGCGGTGGTGGAGCTCAAGCCGGCCGGCACAGAGGAGGTCACCAGGGAGCTCACAGACGAAGGTTCCGTGCTGCTTCCTCAGGTAAGAGAAGCGCGTGTACAACAAACTGCAATGGAGGTATCGGTGAGTGGGCGACTTCATCTGACGTCAGCTTCACAGCACATGCTGCAGCCAGCATTGCGTGTGATGCTGCACCCACCTGCCCTCTGATTCCAATCAATGCTGTGCTTTACCATCGCCCGTGCGTCGTCCCCATGGCAGGGCGTGTGGTCGAGGGTGCTGCCAACGCCCAGTGGCGGGGTGATTCTGAAGGCGGGGTGGCTCGTGGAGGCTGACAAGGCCATTGTCTCTCGCTTTGACTACTCCGCCCTGGGTCAGCTCGAGGTACTTGCTGCACGCCCCACTCGCACTTGCATACATTTCCTTCTTACTGCCTGCACGAGATGCTCTTCATGGTTCTTATACCGTACTCCCCCATACCTCCCCCCTTCCACTTGCTTGCAGCACATCACGATATCAACCGAGACGCGCATCAGCAAGAGACCATGAGCTGCTGATGAATCGTAGTTGCTTTCTGAATCACGCCCTCCACAAGCACCCCCAGCCATCGTTCAGCAAGAGTACATAGCTGCTTAGAGGATGGAAGCATGGGTTCACCACCACCATGTGCTCCTGTCAAACGGGTCAGCAAGGGCCGGCTTGCATGTTGTGCGGGACTCATCCATTGTAACCTAACGTGTATCAATTACCTTACAAGCACGACTGTCCATCTATGTATCAGTGCATCAGATATCACCACAGCACAGACACATTTAACACCCTTACACACATTCAATAGTGCTACACTAATGCGATGCATGGGGGCTGGCAGAAGAGCTGTGCTTGTCGCTGCTCGAGGAGAACAGCTGTGTGCCGCCCTGTGGGGCATGACACAGGGAGGGCAGCAGGCGGTAGAGCAGCAATGCAAGGGAGGGCAGTCCGAGTGCGGCATGGCGGTGCACTACGTGCTGCCTCGCCCTCAGCAGCGCTGCCAACCTGCTGCTGCGTGCAGGCGGAGGGGGGGGTGGTGCTGTGGGTGAAAGGGGAGGAGGAGGTGGGGCTGGGGCTGGCTGTGGGGGCGGGGGGCGAGGCTGGGGAGGAGGTCGGGGGGGAGGGGAGCGGTGTGGTGGTGGTGGTGGGGAGGGCGATGGATGAGGTGGTGGTGGCGACGCCGGTGGCTTAGAGGGCGGGAACGGGGGTGTAGGAGGTGGGGGTGGTGGAGGGGGGGGATTATGGGGTGAAGGTGGAGGATGAGGGGAAGGATGACGGGGAGGAGGGGGAGGAAGGGGAGAAGGAGGGGGTCGAGAGGGAGGGGGAGGGGGTGCGGCTGAGGAGGCTGGGGAGGCGGAGGAGGGGGATGTGAAGGGGGATGATGGGGAGGAGGGGGGTGAGGGGGAGAAGGATGGGGAGAGGGAGGGTGACTTGGTGGTGGAGGGGAGGGAGGAGGAGGACTGGGAGGCAGCAGAGGAGGAGGAGGAGGATGAGGAGGAGGATGAGGAGGAGGATGAGGGGGAGGATGAGGAGAAGGAGACGGTGGGGATGGGGGGGGAGGAGGGGAAGAGGGAGGGGATGGAGGAGGGGAGGAGGGAGGGGATGGAGGAGGGGAGGAGGGAGGGGATGGAGGAGGGGAGGAGGGAGGGGATGGAGGAGGGGAAGAGGGAGGGGATGGAGGAGGGGAAGAGGGAGGGGATGGAGGAGGGGAGGAGGGAGGGGAGGGAGGAGGGGAAGAGGGAGGGGAGGGAGGAGGGGAAGAGGGAGGGGATGGAGGAGGGGAAGAGGGAGGGGATGGAGGAGGGGAAGAGGGAGGGGATGGAGGATGGGAAGAGGGAGGGGATGGAGGAGGGGAAGAGGGAGGGGATGGAGGAGGGGAAGAGGGAGGGGATGGAGGAGGGGAGGAGGGGGGGGATGGAGGAGGGGAAGAGGGAGGGGATGGAGGAGGGGAAGAGGGAGGGGGGGATGGAGGAGGGGAAGAGGGAGGGGGGGATGGAGGAGGGGAAAAGGGAGGGGGGGATGGAGGAGGGGTTGGAGCTGGTGGAGTGGGAGGGGGAGGGGTAGGCGGAGGGGGAAGTGGAGCAGGAGGGGGGGCGTTGCGGGTCCACATAAGCCAGGATATGCGTGCACCAGGCACAGACGGTCGTTTATGCAGAATGTCCTGGCACCCACCAGTGCAGCTCACGGCTTCCTCCACCAGCGCCCTTCGTCCCTCGCTCCTCCCACTGCACTCCTCCCCACTCGCTCCAGATGCCACACCACATGAGGGCTTGCCTGCAGGGCCCACCTCCCACAGTGCGATAAACTTGCCGCTCTGCACCATGCTCCCTGCACCCATGCAGTGCCAGACGAGCGTGATCAGCGCGCATGCACTTGGTAAATAAAAAAGCAGCAGAGCATTGCCGTACCTGAAGTGTTCGTCGCTGTGAACTGGCCTCTGCTCAGAGCCTTGTCTGCCTGGGTGGCTGCGTCACTAAGTGCATCCACGGCTGCTTCCGCACCAAGCGTGTCCTTGGGTGTGAAAATCTTCACAACTTCCTCAATGTGGAAGCTGAATCGGAGATGAAGTGATGCCAGCGGCTGCCCATTGTCACAGGTCACGTCAGCGGAGGCACAACGGGGGGTAGGAGCGACTGGGAAGCACGCAGCAGTGGACGGGGCTCACCTGGAGGTACTGCTGGAGCTGGAACGAGAACTGGAACTGCCGTTCGGGCTGATCAGGCGGCATGATGGTGGCACGCGGGGAGAAGAGCCTTGCAGCACTGGCACTGTCCCCAGCAGCCAGGGCGTCACCTAACAGCGGCAGGGCATGCTCAATGACCTCCTTCACACCTGAGGCTGCGGGTGGGCGAGGCTGGTCCTTGCCATTTGACACACCTGAGAAGCCTGTTTTCAGCAGCACTGTGTTCCATGCAGGTTGCATGGCACTGCTCCGTTCAGCGTGAGTGGTTCTGCTTGTGATGTGAGATTCCAGTGCATTATTACCACCACCGTAGGCTGTCCAACCCCCCAGCGCAACTTGCCATGAGCCATGTGCGTCCCTCAGGTCATCTGCTTCAGTGCACTTGTCATGCATCACATTCCCTTTCCAATCCCTCTTGTACGCATCTTTACGGCATGCCGGGACTTTCAGCCAGAGAGCCAAGGCAGAACCCTGTATGCTCGTTTGTCTCTGTCGTCCTTGTGAATCTATGAACATGGATGCATACCGTACAAGCGATACCGCAACGTGCCGCCTCTTGTTGTGCTGTTTCTCATGCTGCTGATCGCTCACCTGTTCCTTTTCATGGAACATCTCCCCCACGGTAGCCACACCCACCAGTAGCTTTGAGATTGAGAAGTAAATTCTAAATTCACAATGCTTCAGGTACTTAATCAGCTTGGCTCGCGCTTGAGTGGAGTTCAGATTCCACGTGGCAGTGTTGGGTGGCATGATGGTGAGGTCAGCAGCGAACATGCAGGTTGGCACGGGGGAGTGGTGCTGGAGGGACAGGCTGAGGCGGTCAAGCTGTGCCTGGATGGCATCTCTTGCTGCTCTGACGGCACCATCTGGAACGGAATCTCCGCTAACAGTAGCATGCTCATGCACACAGCTTGACAGGAGAACCACACAGAGTAGAAGGATCTGGAAGTGACATGACAATTGCCGGATCGTTCTCACTGGTACAGCTCCTAGATGCTCTGTGCCTCGTCTCGGAGCCATTAGATATACCCTACGATGCGAAATTGGACTCAGACCGAGAAACTTGGAGCTTGAATCAATCGAGCAGGCAATAGTTCGATGCGAAAAACGAAGTAGGAGAACCAAGTTCAAGACCCAGAACTTTATTTCAGTTCATGTAGCAATGACCAGCATCTGCGTTTGGCAACTGAAGGGCATAAGAGCGGTTCCACATATCCTCTGTGTAGTTGGTACGGCGACCGCTGTGCTCAGTAGCAACCCCAAGGTCGCCTCCAAGTATAGCAGAGGCCGATGCGTATTCTGCAGCCAATCACCACGTGGCAGCCTCGGAACATGGTTTCAGTCCTACGATAAAGAGGACATCGCTGTCAGCAGCGACGGAAGGCCTCTGTTCCGCACACAACCAAGCCTGATGCTGCTGTTGAGTTGAGTTTGCTTGAAGCCCACACAAGCAGGTCAAATTGCTGGGGGAAACAAAATGAAACCACGCAGTCATCGCATTGAGGGTTCCCCGCTTACACGATACGGTATGGCTCAACCACCAGGACTCGTTCGTGTACAGTGGACATTATATAATTCACTGTCCTTTAACTGTAGCTTGTATACAAGGATGCCAGATGATTCCTAATCTGTTATTCTCCAATAATAAAAACATTTCCAAGAATCGCCATGACAGTGTATTGCTGGCTCAAGATGAGAACTAAACCTGGACTCCACTGCATTCCGTAAACTCGAGCAATGGAGGATACCTGATTAACCATAGTGTACTGTATTCGCAAACCGGTCTAAACTGAACCTTCACGAGGAACTGTCATACATGGGTGGTCTGCCATTGTGAGGGTAATCGTCTTGAACTGCTGGGTTTATGCCTTGTGATCGCCCGTAGTCCCCGAATGCGCTGGGTTCTGTGCGGTCCCTGATCTCAATGGATAGCAGTTGTGAGGAGTTGGCCACAGCTTCATCCCAGCCGTAGTGTGGCTTCCCCCTGCCATAAACAGCACCCCATCACATCCAAGCACAGGGTCTCAATGAGAGCACAGACAAAGACGAGCCAGTGCCACAGCATCACACATCCACAATGAGACATCTGCACGTGTGCACATGATGGTGTGCTATGCATAGGTGCATATGAGGTGATGGAAGGACGTGCTTACTCATAGTATGTTGGCTCAGCCACCACCACATCCCACTGTTCACCGCTCGTGCTCCTCCCGTACTTGTGCACCATCCTGCAGCCAGCAGCACGCATTGGGGAGAGGAACACGTGAGTTTCGGGTGGGACCAAACATAATATGTCACTGCCACATGAGCGCATGAGCACATGAAGTGCACATACTAGACTGAATGAGATGCACACTTACCCATCCCCGAAGTGCTCCTCGCCCCATGTTCTCGACCAGCCTGCACAGCCACACAAAACACCGTGACAAGGGAAAGGGAACTTGTGAGTTACGTGCGGGGATGTGACTACAGCTGGTAGTGTGCTCTCTGGAGAGCTGCATTGTGTGACAACTCATTTACATCATCCCCACCATCATCAATAGAAGCTCGCACTGTGTCCTTGAGGATGCATCGTCAAACTCTCCACATATATTGCAATGAGCAAGGGGGCCAATCGGCAGCAGGTCCACACGACCACTAAGCGGCTAAAGACCCCGAGCAAGCGGGCATGCACTTACGGGAGCCTGAGTTCTCGACGTGCCAGGTCTCCCCTTGTCTGTGCCCCACCCCCGACGTGAACCGCTCCTCCCACTTGTCGCCCCACTTGGTGCCGTCGTCCTTCTCCGCCCACTTGTCCGTCCTGCATGTGGTGCAGTGCAGCACAGCGAGGTACAGCACGGTCGTTAGGCGCATGCACACGAGGGCACAGGGTGTGTGGATGGAAGTGGTCATGCTCATGCCAACACGCATGCTAGTCGCGGGACGCAAGTGCCACGCGTGCAAGGAAGGGGTGCAAGAACACCAAGCATAGTGTGGACGTGAGAAGTGGTCGGTACCGATGGTGCAAGCGTGGTAGAGAGAATGAGATGCAAGCATGGTGCGAGAGAGAAGGAGAGTGTATAGGTCGTGGAACGGGCCAGGAGAAGGAGCATAAGAGAGGGAGGCGGGGAAGAGAGGGTGGGAGCAGGGAAGGGAGGGAAAGAGAGCGGCGGGTGGACGAGAGGGGGAGCCCTGGATAAGCCAAAGGCGTGTAACGTCCTGCTTATGGCCGGGCCGAACGCACCTTAGGTAACATTGATCTAGTTAATAAGCATCCTACCCTACTGGCTTACTGGCTCTCCCTTCCTTGACGGTGCTCATGCAATCTAGTATTTGTTTCCTTTGTGTGCCAGTTCAGTTGCCTCCCTACGCTTGTTAACAAGGATCATACTCTGCGGATTCGCGGAAGGAGCTCCCTGCACTCGTGTACTTGCAAGAACTTCTAACATTCGTGAGTGGGCGGGCACGAGGGTCTCACCGCGGGAGCAGGAGGGTCTCACCATTTGAGCACCATGCCCTGGCCGTCGTACTGCTCGCCCCACTTCTCCCACCACGACTGGTCGTTGGACCGCCCGTACTTGTGCGACCCTTTCTCCGTCCACCCCTTGCCGTTGTACTTCTCCCACCTGCCACCCAGGGGGGCGCCACAGCAAACGATGACGAGGGGAATGAGCGGACTGTGCAGCACGTGATACGCATTGCACGCGGGGAAAAGCGGAATAGTCCTGGTTTGTTGCGTAAAACGACAGGGCAATCTTACGCTTCGATACAACATCGCCCTCGGAGACTACGAAAGGATCACGACTCACCATTTTTCATTCCAGACGTTTTCTTGTCTTGATTTGGCTTGTTTATGCGCGCTTCTTTCTATTCTCGGAATGCCGCTGCAGAGGCGCCAATTCATCAGGGGAGAGCACACAGGCGAGAAGAGCGAGGGGTGATCGAATGAGGGCCCGGAGGCTGTCGTGAAGAGACTGGAGAGTAAACAAGGACGGCAATGATGAAACGGCGACAACGAAACGGCAACTGTGGGTGGGTGGTGGAATCTGCACCGAACCAGGTAGCGTTGTGCACCCAGAGCGCGCGGCAAATTACCTCCAGTTATCCACAACGTATACTTCTTGCCACGTCTCCCACCAGCTATCTCCTTGATCGTTTCTGCCCGACTTCTCCGCGCCCAGCTCCTTGTACCCCGTCCAATCGCTCTTCTCCCACCACTGCGCCCCGCAGCAATCCCGTCCCACGGCGATAAAGGAAATGGGAAAAACAAGCATTGGAAGAAATGGTAAGACGCGAGCAAGAACTTGAGATGATATCGGCAGCGCTTTAACATCGTAGGAGACTGCAAAGGCTTGAACCTTGACAACACGTGTCCCAAGAAGAGATTCAAGTGAAAGGTGATGCGATCTGCAAGCTTACAGTTTCTTTCCATTCGGACGCCCCGTTGGGGTGTCGTCCACCCATGATGGTCCATCGGCACCGATAGCCATTGTCCCCCATGTCCTCTCCGCTCTCTCTGTACCACGTGCTGCCATCCTCGTTTATGCCGCATTCGTTCACTGGTTGGCTCTTCAGATCTATGCCCCAGTCCTTTTCACTGGCTATTCCAGTGTCTTCCCGCCAGCCGCCAGCAGGCGGCGCAGCTGCACAGCACGCAGATCATGGAACAGTTCATATCGAAAAACGTGCTAGTCGCGAATGTGCATGAAACGAACGACGCATCCCGAAGGTGGATGTAAGCAGAGAACTTTACGAGGTGCTGTGGAACTGACCTCTACGTGGGGGGACGTCTCGGGGATTGGGTGCACACTGGCGAAGGAAATGCTTCGAGTGTTCGTTGTCTGACTGCGCTCCGCCTTTCTGCCACCTGTGGTTCATGCGCGAATGCGGGCTTAGTTGTCACGGGAAACCGGACCCATGAGAGCTATTGCATGACCATTGGCTCGAACGGACAAGAACCAGGGCCCACACTTACCTTTGCGAGGATCGAGACCCAGAGAAGCTGGCCTTCACTGTAAGGTTTTTGCTGAATCTGGATCCACGCTTATCGCCTCCATTAATTGACACTAGCGTATCGGGGCGAAACCTTTGCTGAGCTCTATCTCGAGAGCTGGCTGATCTGGGAAGGTTGGACAGCTTATCAGATCCTACGACCGTTTTGTCAATCAACGAAGTACTGTTAGTAAGTGCAGCCATTGAGCTTGGCTGTGCAGTCAGTCTACAGCACCTAACAAACACCCATCGTTCCTAGCATCCAAGGTCTTAAAATCCTAACTTCGACGTACACAGGTACCACGGAACAACCCTAAGTGAGCAGTTGCTGTTTCGTCAGGCCGATCAGACCAAATACTGAAGCAATTATATATTTTTTTGGGGAAGATATTCCTCCCTAATGATTGCCTGAACTGAAGCTAGTTTACCACGGCCCTTGGGAATAGATCCAAACGATCAGGAGAGTCGAGGGACGCCATGAGATGGTGATGGAAGGCGGGCGCGGCGGAGGGGAGGGGGTTAGAGGGAGCACAGCAGAGCACACTCGAGTGTTGGACTCAAAGTTGGGAGAATAACGGATTGTGGTGTGCGGAAAATATCGAGGTTGTGTTGCGACACGAAGAATTTGTTTCCGGGACATGTTACATCGATTTTAGGCGTGGATGGTCAGGAATACAAATATTCTCCGACGAATCAGTGGTCTGGCGGTTTGCAGGCTGCCCATAACTGAAAACATTTTGCTCCTGGAACATCGAGAAGCCTCACGTTGAAGATCTGTTTCGTCAGCACAGAACGCATGCTGGACAGGCGCACAACCATTCATGTGAAAGGGACTCCGTTTACAACCAATAGCAATCCTTCCATCCATCTTGGATTCAAAACGCCCAGATACCATTCGCAAACGTTGATCTGAGGTTAGGCAGGCAGCTACTTCGCTGACAGGGCAGCCACGCTGGACCTCCTCACATGTTACGCGAGGATCTCGAAGCACGGGCCCTCCACTCCACCGCGACGTGGTCGCCTTGGTGACAATCTCACCTCCTTCCGTTCCTTCTTTGCTCCCTCCCTCCCTCAATCCGTCCTCCCTCCCTCAATCCGTCCTCCCTCCCTCCCTCCATCATAGTCGTACTTGTTCCTCCACATCCTGAGACTCATCCGTTGCTAGTCTGTGTTCATCATTTCTCCTTGATTTAGTTGTCGAATTAGGAAATACGTAGATGCAAGAACGGGCAATAACGAAGTTTAGCAGGGTGATAAGGTGAGTATAATAAAACCAACTGCGTCCTAACCACACGAAGCAACCAAAAGGAGAATCTTGACGAAGGGCCTGCTGTTTCACCGCCTTCAACACAAATCACTCGTCCTATGGTGACCGGAAGTCCTCGCAACCAGTTGTTGTCTGCTCTGACGTTACCTTCACGCGAGTCAATCGAGAAGCCTGGACATAAGAGAAACTGCACTGGCTTGTTGCATGAAATGTATCTGAATAATTACATGAAAGCTTGGAGACGTGGGTGTTTGGTCTAGTGGCATGATTCTCGCTTAGGGTGCGAGAGGTCCCGAGTTCAATTCTCGGAACACCCCTTCATTTTTGTTTTTGTTGATCTGATGTCCTTTTTCAACCAGATAGTGTCGAGCATGCTTCCACCAATGGCCGTACAATGGCTAGTTGCAACATTGCCCTGGGCAAGGACAAACTTCTGTGAGAGGAGCAAACATGGGAGTGCACAGAAGGCACAAACCTGAATGATTGTGCCAATTTTGAATGTGAACTTCATGGTAGATTTTGCATCATCCACCAGCTACTGCTAGATTCGTGCAAGGACCAGAATGGCAATGTAGCAGCAAGAAATGTCACTCGATACATAGCCTAACCACATTACCCTCCACGACTGACAACCTACAATTATACGAAGGCAAAAACAAACCATTTCGAAACCTTCATTGGCGTTGTTTGATCAAAAGAGGTCCTTGAACAGTTCAGGGTTGGCGCCCGACTCTGGAGTGACCACTCCAACTCTGCGAGCAGCAGCATCTCGGCCCTTGGCTGTTGCACCTGCCGCAGCTGCAGCACCCACTGCTGTGCGCCCACCAATGCCCACTGCCCCACCAATGGCTGCCCCGTTTGCTGAGTTACTTGCACCACCAACGGCACCAGAGAGTGCAGGTGCAGGAGAAGCGGTGGCTGTTGCGCTCATGCTGGCAGACGAACCGCCACGCGTGCTCATCTCAGCCAATAGCGGTTCACCCGCTGGCATCACTGTCAGCTCCTCCAGAGCCTTGAAAGGGTCCAATGAAGCAGTACCAGCTGTACTGGCAGGAGCTGCTGCTGAGCTGTCAAGCATGGATGCCATGTTCGCTGGTGGCGGGTCATCATTGAGATCCATCAGCAACAGGTCAGCCACAGGGGCAGCAGGGGCAGGAGCGGGTGCAGGAGCACTGGAAGCAGCACCATCTAATGCAGCGCCCTCTGCTGCTGCTGCTCCAGACCCTCGTTTTCCCCACTGCCCTCCTGCCCCCACCGTTCTTGGCTCAGACCTCGTCCCTGCCAGACCAGATGAAGCAGCTGCACCCCCACCTGCTGCTCCCTTGCCCCCGAACAGTTTCGCTGCCAGCCTCTGCTTCTCCTCGCTCACTTGACTGCTCTCACCCGCTCTCCGATCCCCCCCTCTCCCTGTGGCTGCACCTGCTCCTGCACCCCCTGCTCCTGCTGCTGAAGCAGCTGAGTCAGCGCGGATCGAGAACGAGTCAGCAGAAGGTCCTGCTGGAGCGGCAGAGGAGGCAGCAGCAGAAGGAGGAGGGGCAGCAGGACGGCCCCACTTCCGTTGCACGCCTGAGAGGTTCAGCCTCGCTCCATCTGCTGCACCTCCCCCACCACCGCTGCTCGCCTCCCCTCCCCCATAGCCCCCACCAGACGACTCCCGGAACCCTCCAGACAAAGTAGCGGAGAGGGCAGGGGGCGGGTTGGCGGACGAATAGGCGGCAGCAGAGGAGGAAAAGGCACCGCCACCGGCGCCGCCACGTTGCGAGGCAGTGAGGGGCGCGGCGGGCAGCTTGGGCTGCTCGTATGCTTCAAAGCGCAGCGTGCGGTCTGAGTGGCGCGCGGCAGCAGAAGCGGAGGAGTCGTGCAGGGAGGAGGCGAGGGAGGTGGCATCTGCACCGACGGAGAAGTTGAGGCGGTCTGACTCGGAGAGGTAGGGCCGCGCCCCGGCTGCCAGCGAGTCAGCCACGTACCCATCCAGGAACGGCAGCGCTGGGTCGATCTGGGCAGACAGACAAAGAGCATGGATGAAAATGATGAGCATGCAGGTGATGTAAAATAAAAACACGCATCCAATTCCCTTGCTGTGTACATGTATGCAAAGCGGCAGCAGAGGAAGCACCGGAGCAAAGAATCCAAGCAGCTAACAGCGCACAGCCTCTGGACGCCCCTAACAGCACACCTCAATGTCTTCACAGCTAGCATCGACAGGCAGCACGGCAGCGAGGGTGTCGGGGCGGAGGGCGAGCAGCGCCTGCAGCTGGTAGGCGCGGTGCTGCACGTCGGTGCTGTGCGCCGCCACCATCTCCTCCACCAGCGCCCTCGCCTCCCCCGGCAGCCGTGCCTGCCGCCCACACGCCGCCTCATACGCCACCACCTTCGCCATGGCTGATAGCACGTATGCCTAAGGGAGTGGTGGGTGAGAGGGGTGAAAACTAGCATATGCATGACACATGATCGTTTCGATCGATTCGGACTGAAAAAGAAACGAGATCTCATGTGGTAGCAGAGAGGGAGGAAGCAAAGTGGGTGTGATAAGAGAGTAGACCAGTGTGTTTGATAGAGAACGGATGATGTCACGCACCCGCACAGTGTCGTCCGTGTCATGGCCCTCTGCCACGTCACACAGCTTCGCCATGACTTCATCCGCTGACATGTGGCCGTCTGACGTGGCATACTCCCCCAACACCCAGCATATGACCTGCCGGGTGCAAGCAGTGAGACGGGCAACCAAGGGGAAAAGCTTAACAGGGGCAGGGGAAAGATGCGCATGCAAGGACTGCGCGAGGGAGGGGCAGATAGCAGGAGCGAGGGAGCAAGCTGGGAGCAGCATCAAAGAATGGCAGCAAGGGGCGAAAGGAAGTGCACCTGGAGCAGCAGCGTGGGCAGGTTCGGTTCCTTAAGCAGCTTCACATACGATTGCACCTGTGGTGTGGCGACGAGCGGGGGGGTGGGTGGGGAGGAGGAATGGATGGGATGTCAAGACGGTCAGTGGGAGGTGCAAGAATGCATAGAGCATGAGTGGAAGGCACACGCATGCCGTCCGTTGCGTAGTGAGGGTTATGGGAGGGGCAGACATGACGGACGCGCGAGTGAAAGCACTACAGGCATGCCATGGCACGGATTTAACTCAAAAACATGGAAGAATGTTTGGAAGCACTGCACTTGCACTGCATGCAGGGGCGGGACAGCACCGCCACTCACGGCGGAGGAGCGCAGGCGAGAGTCGGCGTCGTCGTTATCGCCCCCCGACCCCTCAGCGATGAGGCGCATGAGATCATGCGCCACCTTGGGGCGCACCACGTCCCCCGCCACCTCAAACACACTGTTCATCGTCTGCCCGGGGGAGAGGGGGAGAGGAGGGAGCGGGAGGCGGAGGGGGAAAGGAGGGGGCGGGAGGGAGAACCAACAGTGACAGTGAGAATGGTGCATGGTGTGGAGGCATAAGGAGATGATGACATGACTATCGCAGCATGCACCTCGCCCTCCCCCACTCCACCCGTCAAATGCCTCCAACCATTCCCCACCACAATTCCCACTTTATCCCTTGAATCCCCCACATCCCTCTCCCATCCCCCTCACCTGGATGAACCACTCATTGGACGGCGCAAATCTCTCCGCCAGCTCAACGATCCTCGCGGCCAGGTCAGCGCGCCCGTGCGCATGCGCATCATCCCCCGACCGCAGCCCGCGCAGGTACTGCAGCACGTGCTCCACTATCACCTCCACGTTCCCGGGGCCCGTCATCTTATAAAGGAGATCGAGTGTTTTGCGCTTTAACGAGTCATCGGGGTCCTCGAGGCAGTCGATGACGGCGATCTGGTGCTCCGTGGCGAGGTCTGGGTTGATGCGCACTATCTGAGCCAGGCAGTCCACGCCCATGTACCGCAGGTTGTGCACGCTGCTCTGTATGGTGGGTGAGGGGACACGAATACAAGCGAGTGGGGACGGGGTGGGGTCCTGAATACTCGATCACGGTGAAGTGAGAGAAGTGGGGTAGGAGAAGTGGGGTGCAGAGATGGTGGGAAGAAGTGAGAGGGCAGGGCGATTGAGACAGTGGTGTGATTCATTCACACGAAATGAGCATGCATTGGGGTGTGTGGCCGGAAGGTGAAAGGCCGGAGGGAGGGCACGCGGAGCGAGAGAGAGCGATGAAAGAGAAAGGGGATGGGATGGGAAGGGAGGAGGAGCGAGGGAGAGGAGGCAGGCGGGAGGACCTTGAGGAAGGAGGAGGTGATGGCGGCGCATGACGACAGCAGCTGCTCGCTCGGGTGAATCGCTGCCACCGTGCGAATCGCCTCGTACAGGATCGCGTTGCCAGCTGTCACCTGCGAGTCGTCCCGCCGCCCCGTCGTCCCCGCCTTGGGCTGCGACTCGCTGATGCGCCTGATGACGTCAGCGATGACCGGGTACATGGGCTCGCTGGCCGCCTGGTTGTTGGCGCCCAGCAGCGCCAGCAGCTTCAGCAGCTTTATCTGCGTGACGACGGGGGGACCACGGGGTGCGGTGAAGGCGAGAAGGGACTGATGAGGTCAGAGTGGGGACACACAAAGGTGTTGCCTTCCAGCAGATGCACTCGTCCAAGGACCGGAGGTGCAATAGCGGTCGCTCGATGCATGCACGGAGGGGACTGGGGGAAGCTGGAGCAACAGTGGGGTTGATGACCGTTGAGATGGCCCATGGGGGTAGGGAGTTGGGGTACCTACCTGGATGAAGGGCGCGGGCACGCGGTGGTAGTCGAACGACTTGGGCAGGCGGCCCTCGGCGACCTGCTTGAGGATGCTGAGGAACGACGCAGTCAGGTTGCGGTACGGCGCGGGGTCCGCCGCGATCAGGTCGTGCAGCCCGCACAGCGACGCGCTCATCACGCTCGGGTCCTTGTCGCACAGCGCCTGGCGAAACTTTTCCGTCACGTGCGACACGCTGGACGGCGATCGCTGGTGGAACCGTTGCAGCGCCATCACCGCCTTTTTCCGGACCAGCTCCTTGGGGTGTTTAAGGAGGTCTACTATTGGGTTCAAGACCGCCGGAATGGTTTCCTCGTTGATTAATTTGCAGACGGCTCCTAACGCCGCGCACACGACGAGGTAATTATCGGATTTAAGATCCTTCTGAATTGTGTTGACTATCAAGATGATCAAATCGTGCGAGTCGTCCAGGAAAAGCGTACACGCGAGATAACCCGTGCGTTTCAACAAAAGGTTGTCGTCATGTGTCATCTTTACAGCGTGGATGTAACCGAACGACGCGTCGTGACCGAGGATCTCGAGGTACATGAGACGAAGGATGTACTCTTTCATCCGCTTCTTAGGCACGTCCGGCTCAGATATCTTCTTTTTAAGCAGCTCCAGCTCCCCCGCCATAATCCTATCCTCCTCCGCCTTCGACTTAGCCTCGCCTATGGCTTTAACTAGGTCCAAAAAGTCCTTGGACGATCCGACCGCGCTCTGAGACGCGAGGGCAAGGTCTCGCCCCAACGAGCGGAAATCCATGGAGAAGGACATGGCTGGCTGCCTGCGGGACGATGCGGGGTATGATCAGCTGTTTCCACGACTCGTGAAATCTTACGAAACAACAGCGCGCGCGAAGGGGGTCTGAGGACCAGACGGATAAACGGCTTTGAACGACTACCGAATGGTCAAAGCGCGACCAGACGACCCTAAATCGATGCGCATGTGGAGGCAGGAGCTGCCATGAATTAGAAGACTATGGAGATGTAGACTGGATCGAAGGAGGTCGGTGGAATAGGAAAGCCTTGGAATTGCCATGAGCCTGCAATTTCCCAGACTGCAAAAGGTGCTCCGATAAAGGTGGAACTTCCGAAGCCAAGAGTGACGAAATAACTGGTCAACAACGGGTGAACTTTTCAGCATAGCTAAAACAACATACAGACACACCTTCCCAAAGTAGTGATAACATCCAGACCACAATGCCAAGGATTAATTAATTGAGTTGCTTCGCTTGGTGAGATACTACAAGCTTCGTTGAGCAGTTTGCATGCGTGTTCAGTACCTGGTCAGTCAAAAACACCCGATAGAACACTGGGATGTCTGGTTCAGGCGACCGAGAAACCCATAGCGAATCTGCATGCCCCACCTCAAACGTGGGAAATACGGATCTTAACTGGCTCATAGAACTATGATAGAAAACTATTCCCCATTCACACACTACTCTGTTTGCATAGCCTCGCCCTCAGCAGGTTTAGCATCTCCAGCTGCTGCCTCGCCACCTGCCGCTGCAGCGCCCTCTCCTGCTGCCCCTTCTGTCTCCATCGGCTCACCACCTGCCTTAGGAGCCTCGGGAGCAGGCTCGGGCTTAGGTTCGGAAGCAGGCTTGGGAGCTGGTTTGGGTTTGGTCATGATAGGCTTGCAGAACCTGCCAGAAAGAGTCCCACAAAGCAAAGGGCAACGCCACACATAAGATGAAGATAAGTCAGCCATGGCAGCAGCGAGAACCAGCACGCAAGTTGCAATGCACACCCAATTCCCAGACAATTAAATGGCACATGACTGCTCCCATGCCCACCTGTCGAGCGCCTCTGCCTTCTTCCGTAGGTCGGCTGCGAGCAGCACGGGGGCGTCCTTCTTGCTCAGCTTCTGCTGCTGGAAGAGCATATCCCGCAGCCACATCTCCGCCTTGTTGCACTCCTCCACCACCTGTGTGGGCCACGTGAAAAAGACGGCACAGCAAGAGAGGTAGGAGGAGGTGAGGGTGAGGAGATGAAGTTGTAAACAGTCTGTTACTTCATAACCTCTTAAAGGAAAAAACCGGGATTCACTTGAAAGATCACCCACCTCCATCCTCTCCCCATCTCCTTGTTGCACTCCTTACACTGACTACGAACCCAAACGCCAGCATACATCTTCCCTGCCTGTCTGTCTGCCTGCCTGCCTGCCTGCCTGACTGACATCACAACACACAAACCGTCCCATCCCCCATCCTTTGCACTCACCTGCGCCTTCTCCTTGGGGTCGATGTGAGCATACATCGCATCCGTGGACAGCGCCGCCTCCCGGAAGCTTCCAATGCAGTACTGCAGCGACTGCAGGGCGGCGGGGCGCGTCTCTTCCTCCCGGAGGCGCGCCTCAATGGGGTCGCCCAGGCGCTGCAGCTCCTCCAGCCTGGTGGTGTACACGCCCTTGCTCTCGTTCTCCCCGTCCTCGTACAGCCAGTCCTCCGTCTCCTGCAGCCTCGCCAGCAGCTTCTCCTTCTCCGCCTCCGATGCGTACGGCGCTAGCTTGTCGTGCAGCTGGCCGAGCAGCATGGGGGGGACGGTGAGGGGAGAAAGTTGGAACGGGCAGAATGAGCAGGGAAACATGGTGTGAGATGCAGAATCGGCTTCTCAATGGTGGGGGGCTCATGTTGTCACAAGAGCCGCCAGTTAAAGACAAGAATGCTACAGGTGCAGCAGGGGCAGTTGATCGGGTGGTATCGGGTGGGCTTGGCCTCACAGAATGCTCCGGTTCCTCATCAGCCCAAAGCACCCACAATACTACGCATCCCATACATGCAGCCACCTCGTTTCCACATGCCATGCCATGCCTGCACGCACTCTTGCCCTGCCATAGCACGCCATGCACAGCTGACCTTGTTGCGCATGTCGTAGACGTAGCTCTCAACAGCATTCTTCTTCTCCTTGGTCTCCTCCATCACGCGGTCCTGCAGTGCCATCGCAAACTCCTCCTCCACCAGCTGCTGCAGCGCTGCAGGAGGTAGACCCCCCACCAGGTGCGCCTCGATCGGCACGTCCGTCTTCTTCGTCTTCTTCTTCTTCACCATCTCCGGCTGCACAGCGGTGGAGTGCGGTGCAGGGTGGTGCAGGAGAAGAAGAGAAGGGGGAATGAGCAGCCAGAGGGTGAGATGAGTTTGGGAGCCACGCGCACCTTTACAATTCACTCAGCAGCACGACGGATGCAGAATGCCGTACCTTGGCTGGTTGAGAAGCATCATCCATCTTGGCGTCGCCCTCCGCGCCACCAGCAGCAGCAGCAGCAGCATCGGCCTCCATGGGCGCCCCAGCTGCATCGGCGGCTGCGGGGGCAGCAGCGGGGTCCTTGGCGTCCTTCTTGGCCGGCACCTCCACCTCCTCCTCCTCCAGCAGCTGCCCTCACACGGCCATGGCACGGAGAGGGGAGAAAGCAACCTTGGTAAGAGAAGGCACGTCGCGCAAACAACGAGTGCTTGATTATTGATTCTGTGAATCCCTCTTCTGCTTCTGTGCAAAGTCTTTCTCTCCATGCGGCACGTCTTAACTGAATTCAGCCTGAGCAAAGGTTTCTCCTTTTCTGCCCTACTGCATTTAAAACATCAGCTGAAAAGGGAGGCAGCGATGAGGCTTCACCACCCCCAAGGTGAGAAACAGCAACTCACCTTTCCATCCTCCACTTACAACACATACCCGGACTTATTGGTTGCACCTGTAACCACGCAGCTCACATGCTTCATAACGTTTTTTTTTTCTCCTTTCTTTCTTCCTCTCCTTTTCATTTTCTGCCCCTTTTCCTCTTTCTCACGCTGTTAAAACGCACCATCCTGAGTGCCAGGGCAGCACTCACCGTGGCGGATTCAACGGACAGGATGCCGTGCAGGTTGAGTCTGATCTTCACCTTCAGCTTCGGCTTCGAATCCGGCCGCGACGGCGCGAACGGACCCACCTGCCATGCATGCACAGGGGGGAGTGCGGGTAGGAGGGGTAAAAGGTTAATCCGAGATACTCACCCCTGACGGAAAGGCAACTAATCGAAATTCGCCATGTGACGGTCGGGGTGCTCCCACCACATATGCCGTGCTTTTAGCAGAGTGCTTACAGAGACGGTGCCGATGGTCACCGCGGGCGTGTTCACCTTCCTTTCCTTCGCCGCGGACTCACAGTGAAGGTGCCGATGCGCGTGTTGGCGCCAACGGTCTGGTCCTCCGGGTTGGCATAGAAGGCGTCGATGGTGAACGCCTCCGTGCGGTAGAACGTCAGCAGCTTCGAGCTCGGCAGCGGATTGTTCTTCGAGAACACCACCTGGTTCGGCTGCGCTGCTGCTTCCTCGCCTCCGCCCTCCGCGCCCTCCGCGGACGCCGCCCCCGCCGCGCTCGCTTGCTTCCATGATAGGGCGATGGCGAACGGGTACGTGTCGTGCACCTGCGCAGAGGGCGCGGGGGCGCGCGGGGATGGGCGCGGTGGGATGCGGGGAAGACAGGCGGGAGGAGAGAGCGAGGTGGAGGGAGGAAACGCGGAATTAAGGCATCGGCAGGCAGCGTCGCCCTGCACAGGCAGCGTTGGGCGGACGAGCGTGGGAAGCACGCACGCACCGTGTATCACGCACCGTGTATGCGCCACGTGCCCTGCACTCAGCAACTCACGCAGCACCCCCGGCGAGGCGGCTCACCTCGAACTCGCGGACTTTGAAGGCGGGGCTGAGCATGGCGCACTGCAGCGCGCACCCGCGCGCCACGCACTCGCTGGCGTTCATGGTGCGGCGCGGCTCCTTCCCGAAGAAATCCGCGAGGATCTTCAAGATGGCCGGCACGCGCGACCCGGACCCCACCAGCTCGACGGCTGAGATCTGATCGACGGTGATGCCCGACTCGAGCAGCGCGCGCGTGCAGGGCGCCTTGACGCGCTCGAGCATGGGCTTGGCGAGCTGCTCGAAGTGGTCGCGCTTCAGGAAGCCCGTCACGTCCTTCTCCTCCATCAGACACTCCACCTGCACCACGGCGAGGGCGGAGGAAGGAGGAGGGGAGGAGGAAGGAATGTGGAGGTAAGGGAAAGGAGGCGAGGGGAAAGGAGCACACACGGTATGGACGTGTAAGGGTTTGGGTAAGGGGGATTGGGGCCAACGATATGTTTTGATAGACGTGAGAGGGAGGTGGTAGGAAGGGACACGAAGAAAAGGGGATGGGCCATGGGAGAGTAAGCCGTAGAATAAGAGAGGACCGAGAGGGAGACCTAGCGCCACTCACGTGCAGCGGCGACTCCGGGTTGGCGCTGAGGACTTTCTTGAGCTTCTCGCACGCGGTGCGCAGGCGGAGGCACGCGCGCGCGTTGGAGCGGATGTCGAGCTTGTGGTTGCGCGCGCACTCGTCCACGAAGTGGTCGAATAGCACCTCGTCGAAATCCCGTCCGCCCAACGACCGGTCGAACGCATGCGCGAGCACCTTCAGCTGGCCCTTCTTAAACGCCACGATCGACACCTGCATCGCCGAGTGCCCGATGTCCACAAATGCGATGTTGAGCGGCTCGGTTTCCGACAGATCCGTCTTGTAGATTCCGTACGCCAGCGCGGTGGCCGTCGGCTCGTGCATTAGCCGAAGCGGGTGCAGCCCCGCGATGGTGGCGGCATCGAGATACGCGCGGCGTTGTGCGTCGGTGAGGTATACGGGGATGCCGATCACGCAGTCTGTAATCTTCGATCCCAGGTCCTTCTCGCCGATCGCTTTCAATGACGAGAGAACCATGGCGAGAAGCTGAGTGGGCGAAAACGTCCTGGGCTCGTTCATATACATGACGTGCACG